TGCACAGGGGCATCGGACTGGGGGGGGAAAGGGTACCGTTTACCCAGGGCCCACTGCAGGGAGGGGCCCTGAGACAGCTTTGAATAAAAATGTTTTATTGTTGTTGTTTTTTCCCCCCAACTTACTTAACGTCTTAATAAACTTCCCTTTACCTGGATAAAGAGGTTAAGAAACAGAATTTCGCCTTAAAAATAATAACTGAATAATCTCTGAGGCATCTATCACCCCTTAAAAATGTGCAAAGTGGTTTAGTCCACACCTGCGGCCAGGGGCTGCACGGCCGCACGGCCGCATGTACAGCTATGAGACATCACAGATGCCGACAGCCAGAGCTGGAGGCAGGAGAGTCAGTCATGTCTTTTCCCAAGAAAGGGAAATCTGGCTTCCAGAAAAGAAAAGAAGGAGAAAAAGTTAATTGAACAGAAGCAAGTATTGACTAGGTTCTTCAAGAAGGAAGGTGAGCAGCAGCAGCAGAACACAGTTTTAGCTGATATTAGCTAGCTCTCAGAAGCTGCATTCATGTTAGGTGTTCAGTGTTAAACGCCTTTAGTTTCACCATCAAGATCAAATATAAATTAATTAGTGTTATCAGTGAAAACACTAATTAATATATATATATTAATCAGAATTATTATCGCGGGCGGCCGCCAATTAATTCGCGGACCTCGCAGTAAAAACAGGTTCACTCTGTGTGGCTATTTCAGCTCCTTCCCAGTCATGGACCAGGACAAACTTGGTATCGATGGATTCGTGGTAATCTCAGGAATGAGAAGCTGCCACTGTTTTTCGTATAGCATGATGACACTGGTGTTAGAGGATTGTTATTGACTTGGTTAGATATTTTAAGCCTATTTTAAATTTCTTTATATTTGATCTTGAAAACGGACAATCTTATAATTTGGCTGATAATGCAGGGATTATAAAATTTAGAGTACATTACATTCACAGAGAGAACCTGGTTTATTTCATGTCATATGTATTTAATATATCAATACATATCAGCAAAGCTTAACATCATGAACCATGACAGACGTGACTGAAGAGCAGATGAAGATATCATGCCAGGCACTGATGAGAAAATATTACAAGGATCTCACAGCTGAATTTGAGAATGAGATGCTTCACCTGAGAACAATATATGGTGCCACATTTCCACACATTCGGTCTCCTCTTGAGCTGCTTAATGCCATCTACAGGATGCAATTACAGAGCATTTTTGGAGAAGTTTGTATTGGACTGAGGATATTTTGCACACTACCTGTGACTGTTGCTGGGGGTGAACGGGCTTTTAGCAAACTGAAACTGGTGAAAAATTATTTGAGATCAACAATGTCCAAGGATAGACTGAACAGCCTAGCTCTTCTTTCTATTGAAAGCCAGTTAGCCAAAGGATTGGACTTTAAAGATCTCATAAGTGATTTTGCTAACATGAAGACCCGTCAGTGGGCATTTACTGGAAAATAAATTCCAGGATTTTTGTTTGAACACATTGTTGGCAAATAAAAAATAATTATATGTGAAGTCTAGGCATTTCACTTTTATTATGCTGGCATTTGTATTTGCTCAATATAGAGGTTAAACTAAGATCATATTTATTATCTTGTCTTATAGCATGACAAAACATGTGTAAGAGAGATATTAAGTAATTGAGCATGGGGGCCCACCTAGAAGACTTGTACCTAGGGCCCAGAATTTGGTGCTACGCCCCTGGTAATGCATGTGATGTTTAGACAGAGACTCGACTCAGAAATATATAATTCCCCCACAGAATTATTTAGAAAATCATCAGAAAAGTTTCAGAGTGTTTCTGTTTTAACTTAAACTTCTGTTTTCAACTTTAAGACACGTTGTTACAGAGTAGTGAGAACACGGAGCGTTCTCCCAGCGGCAGCCAGGTGCCTCTCGTTTGACTACTTTCATAAACTACTGTTAGGACACAGAATTATTCTGTCTGGTGCTTTCAGCGCTGCACAGATGTTACGTAAATGTTAAAAATATAGCTTACCGCTACTTTTGTAAAGTTTCCGGTGCCACCGGGCGGGCAGCCGCAGCAGAGACGATCTCTGAAAAATGTTCGCGACACGGACTCTGTTGTTGTCTGGAAGTTATTTTTTTCCAAGTTAAGAAAAGAGGCGGACGTGTTTCCTAAATCCTGCATCAGTCCAAGCAAGGCAACTTCTTTCTGTTTTTATTACGTTTTAGTAGCCATTAGCACTGTGCATTGTTGTGTGCGTCAGTGATATTCAGTCTACGAGGAAACCGTGCAATGACAAAGGTTCCGCCGTGCTTGAAATGCAAGCTGCGATTAAATGCGTTAATTTTTTTAAACGCTAATTAATTAATCGTAATTAACGCGTCAAAGTCCCGGCCCTAATATATATATATATATATATATATATATATATATATATATATATATATATATATATATATATATATATATATATACAGTTGTGGTCAGAAGTTTACATACACTTGTAAAAAATATAATATAATGGCTCTACTGAGTGTCCCGTTATTTCTAAAACTCAGATTTTTCTCTGATAGAGTGATTGGAACAGATACTTCTTTGTCACAAAAAACATTCATGAAGTTTGGTTCTTTAATGTCTTTATTATGGGTTAACAGAGAAAAGTGATCACATTTGCTGGGTCACAAATATACATACAGCAGTGCTAATATTTGGTTACATGTCCCTTAGCCATTTTCACTTCAATTAGGCGCTTTTGGTAGCCATCCACAAGCTTCTGGCAAGCTTCTGGTTGAATCTTTGACCACTCCTCTTGACAGAATTGGTGAAGTTCAGTTAAATTTGATGGCTTTCTGACATGGACTTGTTTCTTCAGCACTGTCCACATGTTTTCAATGGGGTTTAAGTCAGGACTTTGGGAAGGCCATTCTAAAACCCTTATTCTAGCCTGATTTAGCCATTCCTTTACCACTTTTGATGTGTGTTTGGGGTCAATGTCCTGTTGGAACACCCAACTGCGCCCAAGACCCAACCTTCGTACTGATGATTTTAGGTTATGTTGAAGAATGTGAAGGTAATCCTCCTTCTTCATTATCCCATTTACTCTCTGTAAAGCACCAGTTCCATTGGCAGCAAAACAGCCCCACAGCATAATATTCCCACCACCATGCTTGACTGTAGGCATGGTGTTCTTGGGGTTAAAGGCCTCACCTTTTCTCCTCCAAACATATTGCTGGGCATTGTGGCCAAAAAGCTCGATTTTTGTTTCATCTGACCACAGAACTTTCCTCCAGAAGGTCTTATCTTTGTCCATGTGATCAGCAGCAAACTTCAGTCGAGCCTTAAGGTGCCGCTTTTGGAGCAAGGGCTTCCTTCTTGCACGGCAGCCTCTCAGTCCATGGAGATGCAAAACACGTTTGACTGTGGACAATGACACCTGTGTTCCAGCAGCTTCTAATTCTTGGCAGATCTGCTTTTTGGTGATTCTTGGTTCACTCTTTACCCTCCTGACCAATTTTCTCTCAGCAGCAGGTGATAGCTTGCGTTTTCTTCCTGATCTTGGCAGTGATGAAACAGTGCCATGCACCTTATACTTACAAACAAATGTTTGCACTGTTGCTCTTGGGACCTGCAGCTGCTTTGAAATGGCCCCAAGTGACTTTCCTGACTTGTTCAAGTCAATAATTCGCTTTTTCAGATCCATGCTGAGCTCCTTTGACTTTCCCATTGTAGCGTTTGTGGGCGTTTGTATCCATTGAGCCCTATTTACCTGGCCTAAGAGAAGTCACCGGCTGTAGTCACTCATAATCACTCACAAGAAGTTAAGAGGCCATGCTATGAAGCTCAGTTCACTGACACGTTTCTAAGTCACCAAAATTGCTAGTTCATGTTGCTGTATGTATATTTGTGACCCAGCAAATGTGATCACTTTTCTCTGTTAACCCATAATAAAGACATTAAAGAACCAAACTTCATGAATGTTTTTTGTGACAAAGAAGTATCTGTTCCAATCACTCTATCAGAGAAAAATCAGAGTTTTAGAAATAACGGGACACTCAGTAGAGCCATTATATTATATTTTTCACAAGTGTATGTAAACTTCTGACCACAACTGTGTATATATATATATATATATATATATATATATATATATATATATATATATATATATATATATATATATAATACATTTATTTAGTCTGGCTTGCCAGGCTAGTTGAAGATTGCTTCTAGCACTGAATAGGGCTTGCTTTTATAAGCATGAGGTCGTGACCCCACCACCACCACCCATCCCCCAAAAGATGCTTTATTAGTAGAGGAAGCTCCCAAAGTCCAAAATAAACATAGACAACCTCTCACACATCTCCAGGATAAAATAGCTTCTAAGTTTTCAGCTTTTCCAGCTGGCAGAAGCAGCTGAGGACCTCTAGTTAAAGTGGAGCGTAAAGGTTGGTTTATGCTTGACGCGTCCGCGAGGTCCGCACGGCTCCGTGCGGCGAAATTGCGTCATTTTAACAACCACGCCCCTCCACTGCATCTCCGCACGGCCCAAAATTTCCACAACGCGCACCTAGGACAATTTCTAACCACGCGGACGGTCGGATGCGGAAAAACATGGCGGACCGGCAAGAACTAGTATGGCAGAGGTTCATAAATACAGACATTTGTGTGATTCAGCTCTCAGATATCAACGTGATCAACATGTTGTTAATAATTCTTGGAGAGAAATAGTTTACACTGTTGAAAAAGACGAGGACGCTGTTAAAAATGCTGAAATGCCATGTTGTAAACAGTCATTTCTACTTCTACTATGGTGTAGTGTTGGATGCATGCCGTAGAGCTCCATGCTGCCCCCTACAGTTTGGGAGAATATTGGCTCACCGCAGAGACGAGCCGCACGAACCATAAACGCTGCGAGTGGTGAAGCGCGTTCCATCCGTGAGCCGCATCACCAAGCAGAAAGTGAATGTGTCAAGCATAAAACAAGCTTAAGGTTAAGGTGCTCCTCCTCCCTGCCTTCCCTTTGCAGATGTGAGAGCACGGTTCAGCTCCAGTGGCTCCCAGACTCTGAGCGCTTCTGTCTGGTTCTCCCTCCCAACCTGAAGTCGGCCATCTCTGCTGTGACGTACGTCGCTGAGCAGCTGAAAAAGCAGGACACGGACGACTCGGTGAGCCCCGGGCAGCTTGTAGTCCAGGTCTGTTCAAGGTGCTGACTTGGTGTTTGTGCTTGTTCCAGATGACTGAAGACTGGCAGTACATCGCCCTGGTGGTGGACCGTCTCTTCCTGTGGTTGTTTGTCATCATCACCACCCTGGGAACGCTGGCAGTGTTCCTGGACGCCAGCTTTAATTACACACCTGACAACCCTTTCCCGTAGAGCATCCTCTGAACACTCTATTGTTGTTTCTGTTTAAATAAAGTCATGTTGTCATCTGAGCGCAAAAGACTTGATTCACATGTTTGAGCTCGACTCAGCTGTGATTTATGGAACAAGAACAGGCTTGAGTTTGTGACCAATCAAGCTGTAGTTTCACTTTTGGGACAGTAGAGGGCAGCAGTGAGTGGGTGAAATTATGACTCCATGAGGCTGTCAACCAGTGATTATTGAAGGTCTAATTAATCCAAGATGGCAGCCAATAACAACAGAAACATGGATATAAATCGGTTGTGTAGACAGATGTTCAATTTCTGCGTCCCCACCTCCTGCTCGCCATCTGGTTAGTTCTCGTTTTCTTAATGAGAGCACAGCTAGCAATTTTTCTGCTGCTATTGATCCACCCTGTTCTTCTGATAACGACCCAGATTCCTTAACTTCTCAGTTTAACGAGCACTGCCTCTCCATTCTGGACAACATCTGTCCTGTCAGAACCAGATTGGTTCCTGCAGTGAACCCTACTCCCTGGTTTGCTGACAGCCTTCGCAGCCTGAAGCGCCAATGCAGACAAATTGAGCGCTTGTGGAAGAAAATCCATCTCCACGTCCATCTGCTGCACCTAAAGGATCTTCTGACATCTTTTAACTGCAGTCAGAGACGCTATGGTTTCCAGGTGGTGTCCTAGAGCAAAGGGAACCCCAAGGTGCTGTTTAACACCATCAGCAGCACCGTCTCTCCTGCCACTCCTACAGCCTCCATCCACTCTGTTGCAGACTGTTAGCCTGGCAAGCCAGACTAAATAAATGTATTATTTAGTCTGGCAATGCTCCATTGACGGCTCTCGGTTGTGGGGCGGGTTCTACCGTTGTCTTTCAAATGATCTCTGCATGCTACTGGACAATGAATGTGACATACTCTTGTCTGTAAAGGTTCTCAGTCATCCAGGTCATTGTAGTCTAATGAGCTTTGAAAGAAAAGCGTCTGGACTTCTTTGAGTTGCTTGAAGACGTTTCACCTCTCATCCGAGAGGCTTCTTCAGTTCTAAGGTCAAATGGTGGAGAGTCCTAGATTTAAACCCAGTGGGAGTTTCCCCCCGAAGAGGGAACAAAAGACCCCCTGTTGATCTTCTACATAAACACATGAGCCAAGGTGTGAGGGTGACATACTCTTGTTTCACTCTGTTGCATCATCCCACCCACCAGGCATATAGAGTGCCCTGATTGGCCCACAAAGCGGATAAAGCTCTGTGATTTGTTCACTAAGCAGATAGAGCACTATGATTGGCCCACCGTTATGGACCAATCACTGCTCTTAATGTGTTTGAAACCCCTCTAGAGAGCTGTGATTGGCCAGCCAGAGTCCTGGTAGGAGCTGCAGAGGTTCCAATGGAGCATGCCTAGACCAAACTTTGCAAAGTAAGAATTTGGTCTAGTTCACCAGGCTAGCAGACTGTGAAAACTTTCTGTCTTTCTTTGTGGACAAAGTCAATAAGGTTAGATCTAGCATCTCTCCTTCAGCCTTATCGCCACCTCTCCCGACTCCAACCAGGCCCATCATCCTAGACAGCTTTGCTCCTGTTTCTTTGCCTGAGTTAACCAAACTAGATAACTCAATGAAGACCTCTGCATGCCCCCTCGACATCTTACCCCGGCTTTCCACGGGAGCCGTCAGCAGCACATTACTGCAGCAGCACGTCATAGCTGCTGATAGCAACCGCTGTGGTCAACAGAATCTTTTCCACCGGAGCCGTCAGCAGCGCGAGTCGGCCGCGTCTCAGGAGCAGCATGTCGCGGCCTTTACGCGCCGGTTCTATTTTCTACACGCGACGCCTCTGAAACGGGTCAAGTTCGACATTTTTGGGGAAGGAAAGACAGGAAATCGGACAGGAAACGGAGCGAAGCTCCCGACCTTTTCAGAATAAAGAAACGTACTGCCTTCCGGTTGCTTTACTTTAAAAAAAAATTACTAACTGCGGCCCCGTGAGAAGTCATCACCTAGCTAGCGGTCTCCTTTGTCTTTCAGGTCCGTATTGGCGATTATAAAACGGACAGAACATAAAACACAAAACTTTTGGAGCCATGTTGTAGTTTTCTCCTGCTTGTTGTTGTGTTTACTGACGAAGTCACTCGTGTGACTTCGTGCTCTGTCGGTGACAGCTGCTCCCCTGCTGCTTCGCGTCTCGTGGGAAGGGCCAAGCAGCAGTTTACGCGAGCAAGACGTGCTGCTGCAGTAACGTGCTGCTGACGGCTCCGGTGGAAACCCGGGGTTACCCTCATCTTTGTTTAAAAGTGCTTTTCAGTCCATCGGTCCCAGCGTGCTCTCTATAATTAAGGCGTCTCTGGTCTCTGGTCAGGTCCATGCTTACTTTAAGAACGCTGTAATCCACCCACTTCTTAAAAAACCGAGTCTTGACCCCTCTCTCCATAGCAGCTTCAGACCCATCTCTAAACGTACAATCATCTCCAAGATCTTGGAAAAGGTTGTGGCTAAACAACTCACAGCTGCTCTTGATGAACATAACATCTATGATAGCTTCCAGTCAGGTTTTCATAGAGCTCATTCTACTGAAACAGCTCTTCTTAGGGCAGGGGTGTCCAATCCTGGTCCTGGAGGGCCGGTATCCAGCAGGTTTTGTGGTTTTTCCACTCCAACAGACTTGATTCAGTGGTTGAAACACCTGTGCGGCAGCTCATCAGGCTCTGCAGAAGCCTGTTAATTAGCTGCTGATTGAAATCAGGTGTGATGAAACAGAGTTCAAACTAAAACATGCAGGACACCGGCCCTCCAGTACCAGGACTGGACACCCTTGTCTTAGGGTCTCTAATGACCTTCTGACTCAGTGATGCAGGGGACTGTTCTGTTCTGGTCCTGCTTGACCTGACTGCAGCCTTTGACACTGTTGACCATCACCTGCTACTGGAGAGGCTGAGAGACTGGGTAGGCCTATCAGGATCTGCTCTGGAGTGGTTCTCCTCTTATCTTTTTGAGTGTTCCTTTTCTGTAGCCGTCTCCAAGTTTAGGTCCTCCACCACTTCCCTTACCCATGGTGTCCCACAAGGTTCTGTGCTGGGGCCTCTGCTCTTCCTCCTCTATCTGCTTCCTCTTCAGCACATCCTGAGTTCCTTCAAAGGAATCTCCTACCATCTTTACGCAGATGACATCCAACTGTACATCTCCTTTAAGCCCCATGAGATGTCTAAGCTGCAGCTGTTACACACCTGCTTAGACTCTATCAAAACCTGGATGGCTGGGAGCTTTCTACAGCTGAATGAAGATAAGACTGAGATCCTCATCTGTGCCCCAGACAAGCTGGTTCCCTAAGTCAGAGACTCTCTTGGTCAGCTTGCTTCCCACACCAAACCTTCCGTCAGGAATCTTGGTGTGACCTTTGACCCAGCTCTCACCCTGGATTCTCATGTCAGTAATCTTGTTCGCTCTTCCTTCTTCCATCTCAGGATCATTGCTAAGCTGAGTCCCATTCTGTCCCGCTCTGAACTTGAGACAGTTCTCCACACCTTCATCTCCTCACGCTTAGACTACTGTAACTCTCTTTTCACGTGTCTGAGCAGAACCTCCCTGAACCGTCTACAGGTGGTTCAGAATGCCTGTGCTCGGCTTCTGACCAAGTTCTCCAAACACACCCACATCACCCCGCTTCTCCTCCAGCTTCACTGGCTGCCAGTCAACTTCAGGGTTCATTTCAAGATCCTGGTTCTGGTCTATAGGGCCTTACATGGATAAGCACCATCTTACATTGGTGATCTTCTTAGTCCCTACACCCCCAGCAGGTCCCTGAGGTCCAGTGATCAAAGCCTACTGGCTGTGCAGCACCAGGCTAAAGACCAAAGGTGACAGATCATCTGCTGCTGTGGCCCCCAGACTCTGGACCTCTCTCCCCCTGAGCCTGAGATCAGTGGACTCAGTGGTCTCCTTTTAAAAGGAGCTGAAGACTCACTTGTTCAAGCTGGCTTTTGTATGACCTTCTTCACCACTCTCTCTTTATTCTGCTCTCCCCACCTATCCCACCTTCCTCAGGATCCACTGATTTCCCTCTTTCCTATTCACTCTCTCTATTAACATTTTCTTAATCACAATTGTCAATTTTTTACTCATTTTAAACATGTTTTTAACCATTTTCTTAATTCTTTTTTATATTTTTTAAATTTTTTGTAAATGTGAAGCGCATCGTGATTTTTATCTTGAGAGGTGTTATAGAAATGATATTTCTGTCTGTCTGTCTATCTATCTAAACGTTGTGCAGACTAATATTGTCAAAGAGAGAAACCCAGATCCACCTCTCCAACTCCTCCTGGGGCATCCCAAGGAGTTCCCTGGCCAGTGAAGGTATAGTAGGTTCAGGGTCGATCCTGGAGTCTCCTCCCTGTGGGACAGAAACATCTGAATCATGCAAAAACAGCCTCTGGGGGTTCAGAGAATGTATTGAGGGCATCAACTAAGACTGCAGCACTTCCAGAGTGGTTTGGGAAGTTTGGACATAAAGAAAACAGAACTTGTTATGTTCTCCCACATTCCAGAGTCAAACCAGACTTCTCTGCAGCGTTTTTGATCCTCTTGTAGCTTTCATAAAATGGTCACAAAGAGGAAAACAAGAAGAAAGAAGCCAGAAGACCACGGAGACAATCCCCTAGTCCTGTTTTCAGAGGATTGGGGACATGGAGAGGACAGGCGCCATCCCCCTCATTTAGAGCTTTTCAGAGGGAAGCTGTGTGTTTTATTGCTGCTGCCTCAATGACTTCCAAGGGCACTTAGAAGACTTTAGTCTTTGAGTTGGAGTCCAGACCCACAGGAGGCCACAGGAGGGAGCATTGTCAGCGCTCTTCTTCAGGCTGATTTAGCTGTTTTTCTTTTCAGAGAACTGCTAAACCAGCGAGAAGAATGTGTGTTTACACCTCCAAAAGGGTGAAGAGGACTGTGTGTGTGTGTGTGTGTGTGTGTGTGTGTGTGTGTGTGTGTGTGTGTGTGTGTGTGTGTGTGTGTGTGTGTGTGTGTGTGTGTGTGTGTGTGTGTCCATGTGCGTGTGTGTTCCTTTTGTGTTATTTGCAATCCAGGCCTTGAGTGAAAAAGCAGCCAAAAGAGCAGCATGAAAATTTGGTTTCCCGTAGCAACAGGCTCATCATCCTCTTCCTGCTCATCTTCATCTCCTGATTTTATCTGATGTGTTCTTCGTTTTCAACTGTTTGTGTATTTATCAACCCAAACTACTTCATCATTGCGTGTTTGAAAGAAAACCTTGAAGAGTCGATTCTCCACGGCAACCAGGGAGCATCTGTTGGCTCCAAACCCAGGACCGGTAGAGAGGAGAAGAGTTATAGTGAGAGGAGAGGTGCTGGAAAGTGTGTGTGTGTGTGTGTGTGTGTGTGTGTGTGTGTGTGTGTGTGTGTGTGTGTGTGTGTGTGTGTGTGTGTGTGTGTGTGTGTGTGTGTGTGTGTGCGTGCGTGCGCGCGTGCGTGCGTGTGTGTGTACTGAGTAATCCTCTCCCTTATGTCTTTACTTACAAGTTCCTTCACTCCCTATACGGGTGCTAATGTTTTTGCCTTCGTGTGAGTGTTCTTGTCAGCTACAAGTTTCAACAAGCAAACATCCAGAGAGCACACAGTCATCTTCTGAACCACTTCATCCTCTGTAGCGTCACATGTTAGGGTTACCGTGAGGCGGGGATACCCAGGTCTCCAGCTGGAGGAAGTCACAATAAAGATGGCCGCAACAGCTAACTCGAAATTACCAAACACAAAAAACAGCAACAACACTCTCCGTTTTAAAGCTGGAAAGCCAACGTTTCCTGATGACATAGCTAAGAGTCGTCCCTAACCCTAGCAGATCACACAAGAGATCTGACCTGAGATCACTTGTGAGATTTGTCCACAACAATTTTGAAGGGATACTTGGCAACTTTTTCGTTATTTAAAATGGTTCTCTTGAGCCAGTATGCACTAAAATGACCCTTTACATGGTTAATGAAATGTCACCCAGACCCCCACCACCCTCTGTAGCCAGAATACTACACTTGCAACTCCAGATTGACGTGCCACCACCTGTTGGATTTATTAAAGGTGGAGCTGACATACCTGGCACTACAGTCTGGTTCCAGAACAATTCCTGCATGTTTTAGATCATGAACACAGCTGATTTGTTTGATTTAGTGATGAATCACCCCTGTAGACACTAATGAAGGCTGGGAAGACATTTCAGCTGTTAAATCCATGCACAGCAAAGAGATAAGCTTCATTTTTGGTTCTAAACAGACACTAGAGGGTGTTAAAGTAAGCCAAAGCTGCAAAGTCTCCCTTCAACTCTATCCCTTCACCTCATGATGGTGCAGCTTTTGTGGATTTCACAGATCTGTCAGAAGATGAGTGATGTTTGCCACTCAGTGAATCTACCTGACACAAACCATGATTGCTGAACACATTGCAGAAATTCACATTATTAGTTGTAACTGGCCTTACAATGGCTAGCTGTTAGCTTATCAATCTGGTCAGAATTGAACTCCTGTTTCTTTAAGTCGAGGTTGTTCATAGAGCTATGTACAGAAGGTATAGTTTTAACTTTTAAACCATTTTAGTATAAATCTAAAGTGTGACAGGTATTCTCCCTCATATCCACACATCATTTCAACAATAAACTGCTATAATTCTGCTAATTATACATTTATTTATTTTTATCTTTGAACTTTTTATCTGAGCAGAAATGAATTCAGTCTCACTTTTCTAAACATTTGTGCTCATAATACAAGTTTGGAAGAGATGCCACTGGTTTCCATTTTGAAAAACAAAAGGAGCATTTCCCATCAGAGACAATCACACCCTTTTCACACATGCACACACACACTTCCTGGATGCCCACCCTCTTCTCCAGCCCCCAGGGCAACATTTCTCTGGTGACTCTGCTGCAGGTTTTAATAACGATCCAGCTCTACTGAGCCTGCAGGAGCAGAGAGAGAGAGACGAGGGATTAAAATAAATAAAAGCATGGCCAACTCTGGGATCCAGCTGTTGGGATTCTTTCTGTCTTTAGTTGGAATCGTTGCACTGATCATCGGGACCATCCTGCCCCAGTGGAAGATGTCTGCCTACATCGGGGACAACATCATCACAGCGGTGGCCATGTACCAGGGACTCTGGATGTCCTGCGCCTTCCAAAGCACCGGACAGCTCCAGTGCAAGATCTACGACTCCATCCTGCAGCTGGACAGTGAGTTCTCTGATTACTGTTCTCTTTGTTTCATTCCCCATGGAGATAAATTGTAGTTTACACTCAAACGGGTTCTTGTCTATATCACCTGGACACACACACACACGCCTGGTGAGGTAGCCTCCAGAGGCTTAAACACACACCTGCCTTGTTATCAAAACAGTAGGGCTTTGTGGTCACCAGCACATTCTGTAAGAGTCCACTCATCCTCACAACGCTGACACACACACACACACACACACACACACACACACACACACACACACACACAATCTAATTCCAAGCCTAGATGGGTGGTGACAGAAAGTCTAGTTGTGTTACATTTGACACAAGAGTCCTATTTTATGTCATTTGGGCTGTGGCTATTATCTGGAATTATATGGGGAGCAAATTCTAAAGGTAACAACGTTTACTGTGTTCTGTTTGAAACTCTTTAATTTTGTCTTTCATCCTTGATGAAAATAAAATGTAAAAAAAAAAAAACCTCTAAATCGTGAGTTCTTTTTTTTTCTTTGAACCAGGAACAAAAATAAGAAAACAGAAAGTAAGAAAGATAAAGACTGAAAGAATTGAACACAGAGAAAAGGAAAAGGAGAAAAAAAGGAAAATAACCAAAGCAAATAGCGAAAGAGAAAAAGAAAAAAACAATGTTTAGAAAAGATGAAACAAATGGATACAAAAGAAGAGAAAAGTAAGGGAGAAAGACAAAGAGAATAGAGCTAAGCAAGAAAGAAAAGAAACCTGATCGAAAGGTCTAAATAGTTAAAGGGATAGAAATAAAAACACAAAGATAAAATGTAGAAAAAGCTAAAGAAGAAAGAGAAAAGCATTCAAAGAGAGAACGTGATCAGTCACAGGTGTGAGATGACAGAACACCACCACCCCTCCGGGTTGACTTCCTTAAAAAGGTTTTCTTACCCGAGAAAACGAACCTCCATACAAACATGTAGAAGTTACATAAACAACCACATTACATTTCATTACATTTTATCCAGGTAATAGTCTTATTTTGACTAAAAAGTTCTGACAGAATCAGATGTTGAGATTTTCTAGTTTTATACAAAACAGCTGGAACTCCTTAATATCACAACCATATCTCTGTTCCTGCAAAATTCAAAGAAGCCCCAAGATAGCTGTTTTTGTGTGAACTTGGCAAATGACTCAACTTTAATCATGAGTTTTGGGTGTAGAGGTGAGTAATGAGTCCTTACAGATTTCCAGTTAGTTATGGTTTGATCATCAGAAGGTGCTGGACCAGTCTACAGGTGATCATCTAACCTGTTAGTTTAGTTAACAGGTTTAAAAAGCAGAATGGTTTCATTCTGAGCTGATGACTGAATCTTCAACACCCAGTTCCACTCTGGATGGCTTTTGTGTTTGTTTGGGCCTGGACTGGTACAGACTGGTTCTAGGTGAACAAAGAGGGGCCCCACCCTGTGACAGGTTTATAGGGAGGGTGACCGATGATGATCCTGGCAGTTTCTCTTCCAGGACAAACACATTAAAGAGTCGACAGGCTCATGAAGTTTGTAATTCACCACCGGTTTTTATTCCTCATTCCACGAAACTGAAACCAGTTTGTTTTCTGTTTCCTCTTAAATACAACCTGCAGAAACGCTTCTTCATGCTCATTTCCTTTTCTCTGACTGCTCCAGGTTCGCTCCAAGCCACCCGCGCTCTGATGATTGTCGGCATCATTGTGTCAATCGCAGGTCTGGGCGTGGCCTGCATGGGGATGAAGTGCACCACCTGTGGAGGAGGGGACAAACTGCGCAAGTCCCGCGTTGCCATGACAGGAGGCATCATTCTTCTAGTAGGAGGTGGGGATGCAGGATTCACACCCAGACCTATTTACACTGATGTCAGTCACTGGTTGGCATCAAATTTAAGTGTTTCAATTGTTATATATGTGTATATATATATATATGTATATATTATGGATGTAAGAAAATATCGATATGGCAATATATCGTGATATTTTCCCCAGCAATATTATATCGATATTCAAAAGCGTGTATCGGAAATATCGATATGGCAATATATCGTGATATTTTTTCCTGCGATTATTACATCGATATTCAAAAGTCGTGTATCTAATTCCTGAAAGAATTTACATGCAAACATTTGTGTATTTTCTTTTCGTTTTGCGCAATTCAATCGCCACCTTCTAGTTGGCAGCAGTGTGCAGCGGGTTTTGTTTCCACCACTGAAATGTAAATCCCTCCATTATGGTTCAGATACCTCATGTTAAACATGTTACGTATCAGTTTGGACTGTTTATTGAACATTCTTACAATAAATTCAGTAAAAAAAATTGCTTGTAACGTCTGACTGAATGTATCACAATACATCGTGATACATCGTATCATCTCCCCTGTATCGTGATACTTATCGTATCGCCAGAATCTCAAAAATACACATCCCTAATATATATATATATATATATATATATATATATATATATATATATATATATATATATATATATATATATATATGAAGTAAAATAGGATTACTGTGATATTCACACTCATGTTTTAGCTACATTCTGTTTCTGGTTTGGTTTTGTCCTATCTGATTTTAAAAATGACATTTATGTTGCAAAATGCACAAAACTGTGTTAGCTTCTCTACACTAAAGTGATGAGTGCATTTTAGCATGCTATCAAACGCTAAAATATAACAGAACATAAGTTGTTTTCCTTATCAACCACTTACAGTTGATAATAAACCACAAAGTAATAGAGAGAGAGAGAGAGAGAGAGAGAGAGATCTGCTGGTAAACTGTAAATAAAAAAGTACCCTGATGGTGTCGAGGTCAACAGAATGACCTCAGCTGTGTTTGTTTGCTCTGTTAGCTTAATGGTTTAAAAACCTAAAATTGTTATGGTTAGCTAATGTTTATTCTAATTATGGCAAATCAGCAGTGTTTTTTTATTGTTAGCTTCCCCAGTCACAGTGCTATGGTGCTAATATTGATTTGCCCATTTTCACCTTTTGTATCATACTTTAGCGTGTGAGCATGTCAAAAATGGCTAAGTAAGTAGAAATGAGACATATGTTATAATAATTATGTAGAGTGAGGCAACAAAAACTTAAATATGACAGTATTGTTGGCGTTTGCTACAGCTAATATGATGCTCTGTTGAAAGGAAACCGTGGTCAAAGCTCCCATGATTAAATGATGATTCACTTCTCAAATTGTTCTTGTTTCTTCTCTCTTTTAAAAATGATTGATTATAATAATCTGAACATCCCTGACATCATCTCTATACACGTGTAATAAGCTGCTCTTGTGCTTAATATGCTAACGAAGTTAATTAAGCTGCTGCCCTTGTTTTTCAGAGCCTGCTCTAGCTAAAGATGCTAATTAGAGAGTAGATTAAAATGACCGTCAGTTTATGGATTTCACTCTGCTGATATGAAACCTGCAAATATTTAGGTAAAATACACTAAATTTGTATTTAAATAAGTCCATTTATCGAACCAATCTTTATTTGGAGCCTACTGGGCCAAGACTACAGGGCCTAACCCTAACCCTGGACAATGATTAGGCCTATCCAATAAATAATCCATTAACTGTATTTTTATCAAAGTGACTTACTTTTCATTGTGGTGTGGGTGTAGAAAGGTTAGAACTAAAATCCAAAAGCCTCTCCTCCCACTCATGCCTTTGTGGTCATTGAACACAGAGAGTCCAGTCCTCCTGACTTTGATTCTACCATCTGAGGTCCAAATGGCTCTAAAGAGAAGACACAGACAGCTCATTGTGCTGCCGTCAGTAAGCGGCTGCCTGGTGAACATGAAGGGGATTAAGGCGGTTTTGATCTATTCCCTCTCTTGTTACAGGACTGTGTGCCATTGTGGCATGCTCTTGGTTCGCCCACAACGTCATCCGAGCTTTCTACAACCCGTACACTCCTGTCAACACCAAGTGAGTGAACCGCTGAAGATCTGGACCCCAGAAACCAGAACTTTTCCGTGTAAAGTCTTGTTTTCCTTCTCCAGGTTCGAGTTTGGTGCAGCCATCTTCATCGCATGGGGCGGCTCTCTGCTGGATGTTTTGGGCGGGGCCATGTTGGCGGCCTCCTGTCCGAGGAAGAAGCAAGTATCCAAGTACCCGCCCGTGGCCGGTTCCCGCCCCGGACCCTCGAGCAGCACTAAGGAGTATGTCTGAGATCGCCCCCCTGCTGGCTGGGACTTTAAAGAAGCTGAGGAAGACCCCCTCCCCCAATGGTTAAAGCATCAGAGGAGCACTGAAGATGTGTGGGCTGTTGAGCAGAGACGAGAACTTCCTTCAGTTTCTGTTCAGATGTACCTTTGATGACCATCTGATCATGATGCACCACTCAGATTCATCTCACGCTGTCTAAACATTCCTCTGTTGTTTACAAGTGATCTTCTCAAATACATTATAATTGGATCCCCTGATTGTGTGTACACCCCCTCCCACACACACACACACACACACACACACACACACACACACACACACACACACACACACACACACACACACACAGGGTGTGGCCTCTTGAATTGCAGCCTCAAAGGTGGATTAAAGCCAACAATTTGCACCTACATGCCAGGACCAGCTTCATTTAGCGTTTTCCATGTAATTGAAAGTAATCAATTTCCTTTTGGTGTCCAACTCAGTCGTCCAGTGCAACACAGACAGCAGATGATAAAGCAGTGTTTTATTTTAACGATGGGTACTAGAATAGATGCTGGAAGGAGCGGGGTGTGACTTCTCACTACAACACACGTCACAGGCCTCGTAACTCTTCATAGGACACTGGTACAAACCTCAGCTGGATATCAGATATCCAACAATTATGCCTTCTTACATTTATTACACACCTGTCCCTATATTTATTTGTCGTTGCTGCAGCGTCAATCTGAGTGTTTATAGCTCACATCCTGTAGTGGTTACAAGGATTTTAAATGTCCTGAAAACATCTGGCTCCTCTAGCACAACGGGATACTAAAACAATGTATGAAGGAGAGTTTTTAAAGTGTGAAACACAGAAAATAAAAACACTGTGATCTAGTTAGTCGTGTGGTGATTGTGGCCGCTTCTACCTTTAGTTATCTTAGTATTAAAGTAGCTTGGATATGTTCAAGTTTGGAAACATTACAATTTATTGTCTTTCCAGGTTTAAAGAGGAATAAGACTGACTGGGTGGAAGTGAAGAGCTAATGGTTAATTAGAGCATTGCTAAGATGGACTACTGTTGTCCTCTTCTGGCTCCAGACTACACTCTAAAAAACAACAGTATTTTAGTCGGATTTACTTTTATAAACCTGTAGTCAAATTCCCATTTAACCACTCATGCTCCTCAAGGATTCAGATTCAGTATCAGGATTAGTACCTTCATCGTTAGTACCTGATATTTATAGTCCTATTTAGAGCCCTGCTTTGAAGCCCTAGGCCTTCGGGTCGGCCCGGCCCTCGGGCCGGGCTTCGGGCCAACGACTGTGTAATTACCTCGGACACGGGCCGGGCGCCTTTATTTTTAATCAAATTCATTTAAAAAAATTGAAACACTTAAACCAGGGGTCGGCAACCTGTTCCCATCAAAGAGCCATTATTACCCATTTCCCACAGTAAAGAAAACACCACAGCAGCCGCGGCGTTGTGGGCGGGGCCTACCCTCAGTCGGCAGAGAGCTGCTCACAACAGGTAACAGCAGCCAGTACCGGTCGCTCGTGTACGTCAAAGTTATCTTTCATAAGATGATAATCAATAAAACGATTTATATAAAATGGATCCAGAAGTTGTAGTCCGTCTCTGCCGACAATATTTTGATATTTTATCGCGTCATACCCGTGTCAAAACCCGTGCACGCGCATTGGGTCCACAGCGCGCGTGTGAACGGGACTCGCGAGCGAAAATATACATGGCAGCGCGCGTGTGAACGGGACTCGCGAGCGGAAATATACATGGCGAGAGGTCATTTGTGCACTGAGAGGGAGCAAACTGTGTCTGTGAGCGCACAAGGATGTGCACAAGTGACAAACCTGCGTGCGCGCGTTGTCAACGAGCACACGGCAGAGGAAAACGTGCGCGCGCGGCAGCCTCTGTGCGCGCTCGGCAGCCTCTCTGCGCGCTCGGTTTCTGACTCCTGCTCGCTCGGCTGTAAGGGTTTTGGCACTCTGGAGGCGTGGCCTGTGGCAGATCTCCTCTGTCCTCTGATTGGTTAGTGTACCCCGCACTTTACCCTCTACCTATCTATATAAAAAAGTCTGCTAGTCAAGTAGTCGCTGGCATAGCTCAGTTGGAAGAGCGGGTGACTCTCGCCCCGGAGGATCCAGGTTCGAGGCCGGGCAAGGAAAATGTAGTAGATGTCATGTTAATTTTTCTTAATTTCAGGTATTTTACAGTTGTGACCGTTCAACTGTCATTAAACGTCCGAATGTTTGCTGGGCAGTGTTTTAAAAAGTGCACATAAGCTAGATGGTTTTAACCATATAAAATTACATTTTTTGTGATACTGGAAAAATACATACTGAAATAAAACTACTGATTGAAAACTTTATGACTGTGGTTGTACAATATATGACTCACTAATACACTGCAAACTCCCTTAGAGTGGGGCTTCCAGAGAGAGAGAGAGAGAGAGAGAGAGAGAGAGAGAGAGAGAGAGAGAGAGACAGAGAGAGAAAAGTTCTTGCCTCATTAATGAATTGTTTATTTTTTTCAGTATTTAATTGACAAATTATCCTTTCAAATAATTAATTGATGAGTTACATAATTGTCCATTTAGAATTGTTGAATGGACTGAGTCAAGTTTGGTGCACTTTATATATTTCAAAACATGTTTTTTTTTTATTTTAATGATGCATATAAATAATTTAAATGTTAATTTAATGAAATATTTCTATTTTTTCATTACCTCACCCTTGTTTTGACAAAAACGGGACCTTGCTGGATAATATCATGGAGAAACTATTTGTTCACAGTACATGGCTCCGTAAGGATCTGTGTACCAAAGGAGGAGATACTCAGAAATCTGTCTGCAGATTGTTACAACTCAGACTGGAAGTGGCGGGCTGTAATAAGAAAGAAGACCAAACAGAGGAGTGGGGGTTCAACAACTGATTTATTTAACAAAAGTAAGGATTTACTAAAGCAAGTTAGTGAACAGAAAATGGCCATCTCAAGGTTTTACTCGGATGTCCCTCAGCAGGGTGCAGCACTGTTGAAGGTCATCTGAATGAAAGCTTGATATGCAGTTTCTTTATGAAAGTGTGTAAATATACAGTGTGGTTGCCGTACATATGTTGAGGTTCTCAGACATCAGGCTTCTTTGCCCAGGCCTTCACTAGTGGGCTATTTTAAAAGTTGGTAAGGAGAAAAACCACAGCATATAGCTGATTGTTTACAAATGCAAGGAGGGGAATAACAATCAAAATGCTTGTGTTCTTGGACCAGATGAATGGAGCGCTCCACATGCACTCAGAGATGTTATGGCTTCTGTTTCTATAACTTTACATGCAGACATTTGAGGTTTGCCAGAAAGGAAAGCTGGCCTGTACACTTTGCAGGGCACAATGTCATCAATGAAGAAACCCCTGTCTACCATGATGACCATCTCTAGTTGTAGCATTTTCAACACACCAGATTCCCAGGTTGGTCGCTGATAGTTCCAGCATACAGTGCTGAGACAAAGGTCACTGGCCTATGTGGCACAATCCAAATGAGCCTCTTCAGAGTGCAGTTGAACTTGAGGAAAATATATGACTCTGGAAGAGAGGGGAATATGGCCATTGACACCTCAGATCAGTGCAGTCAAGAATTACTGGTGTTTGGGTAGTCCTGAACGTGTTGTGATGCCCCCACCGTCTCATTGGGTTTTCATTTGTGTTTAATTGTGTTTTTCTTCTGTTGTAGGCAGCTGGTTAAGCAGCCTTGGAGGCACCTGGGCTCAGGGTGTGGTGCTGCCTACAAAGCCTACTGTTTTTCTGCTTTCACTGGGTCTCTCCTGTGTGGTGGAGAGTCCTCACTGGCCATTTTCTGTTCACTAACTTGCTTTAGTAAATCTTTACTTTTGTTAAATAAATCAGTTGTTGAACCCCCACTCCTCTGTTTGGTCTCCTTTCTTATTACAGCCCGCCACTTCCAGTCTGAGTTGTAACAATCTGCAGACAGATTTCTGAGTATCTCCTCCTTTGGTACACAGATCCTTACGGAGCCATGTACTGTGAACAAATAGTTTCTCCATGATATTATCCAGCAAGGTCCCGTTTTTGTCAAAACAAGGGTGAGGTAATGAAAAAATAGAAATATTTCATTAAATTAACATTTAAATTATTTATATGCATCATTAAAATTAAAAAAAAAACATGTTTTGAAATATATAAAGTGCACCAAACTTGACTCAGTCCATTCAACAATTCTAAATGGACAATTATGTAACTCATCAATTAATTATTTGAAAGGATAATTTGTCAATTAAATACTGAAAAAAATAAACAATTCATTAATGAGGCAAGAACTTTTCTCTCTGTCTCTCTCTCTCTCTCTCTCTCTCTCTCTCTCTCTCTCTCTCTCTCTCTCTCTCTCTCTGGAAGCCCCACTCTAAGGGAGTTTGCAGTGTATTAGTGAGTCATATATTGTACAACCACAGTCATAAAGTTTTCAATCAGTAGTTTTATTTCAGTATGTATTTTTCCAGTATCACAAAAAATGTAATTTTATATGGTTAAAACCATCTAGCTTATGTGCACTTTTTAAAACACTGCCCAGCAAACATTCGGACGTTTAATGACAGTTGAACGGTCACAACTGTAAAATACCTGAAATTAAGAAAAATTAACATGACATCTACTGCATTTTCCTTGCCCGGCCTCAAACCTGGATCCTCCGGGGCGAGAGTCACCCGCTCTTCCAACTGAGCTATGCCAGCGACTACTTGACTAGCAGACTTTTTTATATAGATAGGTAGAGGGTAAAGTGCGGGGTACACTAACCAATCAGAGGACAGAGGAGATCTGCCACAGGCCACGCCTCCAGAGTGCCAAAACCCTTACAGCCGAGCGAGCAGGAGTCAGAAACCGAGCGCGCAGAGAGGCTGCCGAGCGCGCACAGAGGCTGCCGCGCGCGCACGTTTTCCTCTGCCGTGTGCTCGTTGACAACGCGCGCACGCAGGTTTGTCACTTGTGCACATCCTTGTGCGCTCACAGACACAGTTTGCTCCCTCTCAGTGCACAAATGACCTCTCGCCATGTATATTTCCGCTCGCGAGTCCCGTTCACACGCGCGCTGCCATGTATATTTTCGCTCGCGAGTCCCGTTCACACGCGCGCTGTGGACCCAATGCGCGTGCACGGGTTGTGGCACGCTTTAAACGCCATAATATTTTTCACCCTGTTGGTGGTTTTACTGAGCAGGTGCCACTTTTGTCATACGTTTCTTTTTAAAACATGTTTAGACTGTTCAGAATACAAATCCAGGCTCTGTCACGTTTGCTTGTTGTAATTAAACTTTGTAGGTGGGGAAGGTCAGAAAAGGATCTGATCAATTTGTTTTTCCCTCATTTACAGCGACGGAGATAATGGTGCAGTGCGCCTGGCTCTGGTGTTAATCAAGTTTAATTTTATCTATTTTCACAAGAAAACAAAACTGTTAAAAGCAGGGCTTGTGTTGACCGGACAGTTCCCGTATTCGACCATTTATTTTGATGGAGAAAGAATAGAAAGAATTACCCCGACGCATGCAGACGAAATGACATTTTATTTTACGCACATTGCAGATGTAGCTAAATCACTCAAGAAAAGATTCCCATCTGAACATCTGAGCTGGACACTGCTCAGCGCAGCTCGCTGTCAGCATGTACTACATAAGGTACACAGCGAGCTGAAGATGTGGAGAGGGGCTTGGAGCGCGTCGCAGAACCAGAACGCATGCAGGAAGGTTCCTCCCACTGAAGCGAGTGTTTTCCAAACCCTGTCTCTCAGAGAGATTTGTCACTTAGAAAATGTTCCCTGATTATGAAACTTTGGCTGAATAGTGCTTGTTCCTGTCTCCAATGTGGCGACGCATCCAGTAGCCGTCTAAGAAAAAGCCCAGAATCTCGCATCCTCTTCAGCTCAGAAAGCGCATATGATTAGGCACAAGCGTGACCCGTCAACCTGGTCTCACAGTAAGACTGGGTTGGGCCTGTTCAGGTTTACGCAGACAATCTTTACATAGAATTGACTTACAGATATAAAATTAATACAGTAAAATATAAAGCATTTTATTTAAATATCCATTCATTATTTTACAAGCACAGAGAGCTGCATCAGATGGATGGAAGAGCCGTGGGTTGCCGACCCCTGTGCGTAACGAATAAAATGTCAGTTCGTCTGCATGCGTCCGGGTAATTCTTTCTATTCTTTCTCCGTCAAAATAAACGGTCAAATACGGGAACTATCCAGTCAACACAAGCCCTGCTTTTAAATGTTTTGTTTTCTTGTGAAAATTGTTGGAAAGAGATTAAATTTAACTTGATTAACACCAGAGCCAGTGCGCCGTTATCTCCGTGACGGTAAATGAGGGAAAAACAAATTGATCGGATCCTGCACGTCTTTTAACACATTGGTCAGGATTGACGCACTTTGTTTTCATTTAGTTGGTTAAAAAGAAGTCGGGCTCGGGTCGGGCCAGAGAATCCTGAAAACCTTTTCGGACCGGGTCGGGCTGGGGCTCTACCCCCTCGGGCCGGGCCGACACGGGCTCAGATTTTAGGCCCGTGCAGGGCTCTAGTCCTATTTGTGTATACTGCCCCCTAGTGGATAATATACAGATTGCAAGGCAAGGCAGCTTTATTTATACAGCACATTTCAAATACAGGGCAATTCAATGTGTTTTACAATCAGAGTGAAATGGTGCAACAACAACAAACATGAAAACACAAATTAAAATGTACACAAATAAAATGATCATTTAGAGCTAAAAGGAAAAGACAGAATTAAGGTTGTGATATTACATCAGAGATTACAGTGGAGACGAGGCAGCATAAGAAACAATTCCTTCAGAGGCTGATGGGTACATTAGTAGGGTTTTACGTTTTGATTTAAACAACACTAGAGTTGGGGCAGATCTGAGGTCCAGGGGCTGCTGATTCCATCTGTGAGCAGCAGAGTAGCTAAAAGCATCTTCACCCTGTTTGGTTCTGACCCAAGGTTCTACTAGCTGAATGTTTCCTAGGGTTTATTTCATTTTTGCATTGTGGTTAAATTGGTGTTGAATTACATAATACAACAGATCATATAGTTGTCATATTAATAATAAATAATAGGATTTTCTATTTCAGGCTTTCATTCATCTCAGTTTTATATAGTGCAAATTCATAACAAGTCATTTCAAGGCACTTCACAAAGTAAACATTCCAATTAAACCTACATACTAGTGCACTGAGTTCAGTTCAGGTTGTTTCCTATGTAGGAAACCCAACAGCTTGCATCGAGTCACTGACTAGTGTCAGTGATTTCACAGCAATCCTCATACGAAGCAAGCACGTAGCGACTGTGGAGAGGAAAACACCCTTTCAGTAATCGAAGAAAAATACACAAATACACAGGGCTTTCTTCAATTAACTGATTTGTTTGTGGGATTTTATTTGTGTTCAAGCAAAACAAGGAAAGTCCAATTTCTTTTCTGACTTTATTTCACCAACATCTTTAGATCACGTTTTTTGAAGCGTATAGCTGCATGTCGAATAAAGCCAGGGGAACTTCCAGAGGAATTTCATGTTTCTGACAGAATGACCACGTCATAAATACCTTACTCAACTCGTGCTCATTTTAGCCTAGAGCTGTGGGTAAGGCATCAGTCATCTTACTCAGACTCGCCATTGGCTCATCACATGAGGCATCAGTGGCTCAGAAGTCAGGAGTCTTCCCAGTGAGCGGGTTGCCGGTTCCAACCCAGGCTTCGTCCGTGTCAGATGTTGCATCCTTGAGCAAGACACTTCATCATCCTTGAAGTCGGTGGTGGTCAGAGGGGCCAGCAGCATGGATTTTGTGGCAGCCTCATTTCTGTCTAGTGTGTGAGTGTGTGACTAAGTGTAAAGCACTTTGGAGTCCCTTGATTTAGAAACGTGCTACAAATTACTTGTTCTTCAATCAATCCAGTCAGATTAAACTGCTGTTTCAAAGTGAGGTTGTTCAGCTACAAATACGGTGACCTTCTCAGTGGTAGTGTCCGCCCTAGGGCAGGGAGATCTCTCTCTCTCCTTTAAGCCCCATGAGATGTCTAAGCTGCAGCTGTTACACACCTGCTTAGACTCTATCAAAACCTGGATGGCTGGGAGCTTTCTTCAGCTGAATGAAGATAAGACTGAGATCCTCATCTGTGCCCCAGACAAGCTGGTTCCCAGAGACTCTCTTGGTCAGCTTGCTTCTCACACCAAACCCTCCATCAGGAATCTTGGTGTGACCTTTGACCCAGCTCTCACCCTGGATTCTCATGTCAGTTCTCTTGTTCGCTCTTCCTTCTTCCATCTCAGGAACATTGCTAAGCTGAGTCCCATTCTGTCCCGCTCTGAACTTGAGACAGTTCTCCACACCTTCTTCTCCTCACACTTAGACTACTGTAACTCTCTTTTCACGTGTCTGAGCAGAACCTCCCTGAACCGTCTACAGGTGGTTCAGAATGACTGTGCTCGGTTTCTGACCAAGTCCTCCAAACACACCCACATCACCCCGCTTCTCCTCCAGCTTCACTGGCTGCCAGTCAACTTCAGGGTTCATTTCAAGATCCTGGTTCTGGTCTATAGGGCCTTACATGGACAAGCACCATCTTACATTGGTGACCTTCTTAGTCCCTACACCCCCAGCAGGTCCCTGAGGTCCAGTGATCAAAGCCTACTGGTTGTGCAGCACCAGGCTAAAGACCAAAGGTGACAGATCATGTGCTGCAGTGGCCCCCAGACTCTGGAACTCTCTCCCTCTGAACCTGAGATCAGTGGACTCAGTGAACTCCTTTAAAAAGCAGCTGATTGAAGCTGGCTTTTGTATGACCTTCACCACTCTCTCTTTATTCTGCTCTCCCCACCTATTCCACCTTCCTCAGGATCCACTGATTCCCCTCTTTCATATTCACTCTCTTTACATTTTTAACAATTGTCTATTTTTTGCTCATTTATCATATATTTTTAACCATTTAATTTTTTTTATATTTACATTTTTTGTTTTTGTGAAGCGTCTCGTGAGTTTAATCTTGAGAGGTGCTATAGAAATGATATTTTCTACTTTCTGTCCTGGCTCCTACACTCTGGAACGAGCTCCCACCTGTTATCAGTCACCATCACAGCACGTCTTCAAGGCTCATCTTTGGCTTTAATGAAATGTGGTATTTAGTCTTTTATCCGTTTTATCACTTTAGTCATTTTTAATGCTGTTTAAGTGTTTTATTGCTCTCTGCTCTTTTATTACTTAGGTTTAGTGCCTTGGGCTCCTGTAAAGGCAGTGGAAGGCGCTATGTAAATATAATTTGAGATCAAGGTTAAAATCCCTGTCGGGTCATACCAAAGACTTATGCCTTCCTGCTTGACCCTCAGCTTTAAGGGGTTGAATTGGGGGGGGGGGGGGGGGGGGGGGGGTTACACCACCAAATAGTTCCCGAGCGCAGCCAGAGCTGCAGCTCACCGCTCCCCACGGGGATGGGTCAAATGCAGAGATGCAGTTTCACCAGTACGTGATGACTAATGGGACGGTTTTTTTTATCAATTACGTCAGATCCAAGCCATTTCTTTACGAGCAGCTAATGCTAACACCCACACACTTCCACAAGTGGAGATTCCTGGTCGGCGCTGAGCCCATGTGGTAAAACGTGTTCAGAGGCTGTGATGCTAATGTGAGATTAAGGAAGTGGCTTTTAGACATGTAGCATGTTAGCAGATAGCGTGATGTCAGCCATGAGCCGGGAATCAACGTCACTCACATTTGCATTCCCAACTTCTCTGGAACTTGTGGTAGACTCTGTGGCCCAAATGTAAGAACTGTTTTCACCTAACACTTCAACTTCTGTCAGTTTCCTATCCAGAAACACACACACCATCTTTAAGGACCTTTTGTTTTATTTCTAGCAATGCATTAAGAAAAGTTGATCATTTTCATGCAAAAGAAAGGCAACCACAACACCGATCGGAGTCTGTGTGCTTCCCGACACAAAAACAACTTCACATCCAATAATAACACAACCTCCACGTGAGCCTGAGGCAGTCACACCTTTAGCCAAAGCTGGGTGTGTGATCATTTCTGGGGTGACTGTTCATCCCGTCAGTAGAAAGTCTGAAATATAGTCAGAAAGATATGTCGGAAGTGCTTTTTAAATAAATATACATGTTTTGTTCTGCATTTAAAAGGTCTACATACACATTTTTTCTGAGGTATAAAGCATTAAATTCTCATTAAATTTTTTTTTCTTGGGAACGCCGAAACATTAAAAACGTAACATTTTATTCTGTCAAGTCGACAAGCTCTTAATAGTCGACTCTGAGTGCAAAACAGTGATCTGGTTTTAAAAACAAACTCCTGCGTAGCCCTTAAATAACAGGACACTGGTGTTTTGATGCGTTCACAGACTTCATGCAAGTTACGGCACATAACAGGCGTTCCCACAAAGTGCACCAGTCGGAAAAACTGAAGAGATCGAGAAAAGGTTCAGAAACAAATATTTTAAAAAAATAAATTAAGAATCACAACAACAAAATAATTAGCAGTAGTTGTTTTGTTTAAGTGTTGAACAGTGGTCGCTGCACGTTTGCACCCTTTAACCCCACCAACCTGCTTCCACTCACCCTGTGAAACGTCAGCTAATTAGCCCTTAATAAGAACCCTCAACGTCTTCCAAGTCCTGAATTAAAGCCAGTATCATTCACAGTCAGTTAAATAAACACTATGTACAATCAGGGTTTGGGTTGGCGCCGACCGAGCTGCTCTGGAAAACCCACAAGGACCATCAGAAGCTTCTGGAGGACGCTTAAAGAACCAAGAGCACTGACTGGAGGAGATTTGGCATCCCGACCGGGATTTTGGCAGTTCATAGTGGAGTTTAGGAGATGGGGGACAGGGACACGGCGCACTGGCCGTTGTTGTTCGTGATGTCGTCCAAGTCTTCATCATCCAGATCCACTGTTGAGGACAAAGTCAGGAGTGTGAGTCAGAGTAAAGGATTTAAAAAGAAAGGGAAGCAGAACCAAGAATAAAGCTATATCTGGACAGGTGGAGAGAAGACACTGGTCCTGCTCCTGGATGTGGCCCAAATGCATCAGATCTGCTACATGAGCATTTAGACCTGTCTTACTACAATTCTCAAACTTCAGTTTACCTTCACTTAACTCGCAAATGAGGGGGTTTAGAATTTTTAAACATTCAAAAATATTAAAAAAATTGCACTAATTTATGACGTTATCCGACAATTCCTGACACTTTCCTTGGAGCTTTTTATTTTAACAGTGTCCTTTAGTAGTACTTAGTTTTAAACAGTGTTTTAATTTCCACTTATATTTTTGGTTTTCAGACTGTATTAGCAAGATCGACCTCAGGATTGAAGCGCAATAAAATTAAAAGAGTTTCTACTTTTAAAATAATTGTTTATTTTAATCTTTTAATATACTTCATTTAATAATTTGTGAAATTTTACACCCTCAATGTGCATTTATATTAGCTATGAAATTGTAACCCTGCGTGTTCCTTCTCCGTGTGATGACCGATGGAAATTTGCTGCATAGCTCTTTAACATACTGTCCCAATCAAATAAATATAATAAAATGAGATTCAATTCTTGTTTTTGCTATATTTTGTTTTACACTCTGCTTTTTAGATAGCTGTATGAATAAAGTTTACTTAATTTAGTAATTCCGCATATGTAGATTACAGGTGTCACTTAACAGCTTACCTGTACAGATATGGAACTATTGCTTAAAACTAAATCTAAACAGACTCACCTTTCTTGGACCGCCCGATCTGACCCAGTTTGGGCGCCCTCTGGCCGAGCCTCTGGGGATTGGAGCCTCCTCCGTGGCCGTTCACCTGAGGGTGCCCCGGGTTGAACTGCCCCGCCGGGCCGGGCTGCCGGGGTGGCCCGCGGGGCGCGATGAGCTCGGGAATCCCTGACGCTCCGTACATCGCTGCGTGCAGTTCTCCTGTTCGGCCACTAGATGTCCCCGCAGAGCAGCCGTCAACTGGAGTCTCACTTCCGCAAATGGATCAACAACGAACGTGAAGGAAACAGGCGAGGAAAACGGACGGAAATAACGGAAGACCTGTCAATAAAAGTAAACATGTTTAACCAGCAATAACTACTGCGCATGAGCAGACTGACTAACGAACCGACACTTCTTCCCTGATTATAGATAAGGGTTATGTTTTAAGGAAGTATGACTATACACAGGTATAACAAACGTCTTCCCCGCTTAATTTACTAGTTCGATGCGTTACCTTCACTTTGACACACTGGCTAAACACAATTTCCGCTTAATTTTAAACTCTTTTTTAAACATTTCTTTAATATTCAGAAGAGAGAAGCTCACCTCGTCTCCGTGAGGCCGGATTTAAGGAACTGAATCCGGTAGACGCTTCCTCTAAGGACCGGTGGTGGTAGTGGTGGTGGTGTTGTTTATCACAGCTTTCTCTCGCTCTTTCTCTCCTTTCCTGGCAGCTCACCAGCGCCGCGTCGATTTAAAGGGGTCTCTCCTCTCCGCGGAACCACCTGACTCCTCCGGGATTTCCTTTTATTGTGTCTTGACACCAAACCGAAACCGAGGACGTCACCGAACAGTCAGTGTGACGCTGATACTTCTGCTTTACTCTCACACGAACAGGAGACGGAGGAGAGGAGCAGGGTGTTGAGCGCGATTCCGCTCCTCCTTAAATCAGAGAGTGACTCAGAGGCCAGCCAATCAGAGACGAGCTCCAATAATCATAACAGGTTACTGAAGCCAGAAGTAAACATCCTGTCTGGCATCAGTTTGAGTGTGTTTGGCTTAATTTTACATGCATTTTTTTTACCTTTTTCCTTATAGTTCACATTTTTATTTAATTTACACTATTACTATTAAAGTTTTCATGACATTGTTTAATAACTGCTCCATTTTTCTAAAAACTACATTTCTGTTTTGATTTTATTGCTTTCACTTGGAGTTGTTTTTTTTTTTTCAAGTGAACCTCACTCACCATCTGAGTCAGACTAACCCTAACCCTACTTAAAGAGCAAGTCACCCCCAAATCAATAATTTTTTTCTGATAAACTATATAAATGTGTGTCTAATCGTGCTACAGACACGTGTAGTCAATAGTTTTGCACTTTAGTGCATGTTAGTTAAAATTTTAATTTTCTGCCTGAAACTGTCAGAGTTGTGCCGTTGTCAGGTAAAAACTCTTCACTGCATTTGAATTTAAATCTGCCATCGATATTGGCTAAGAGGTATGCTGTGATGTAAACTGGTACATTATGATGTCACAATGTCGTGAGTGTGTGTATTTGTTAGTGGCTCCACCCTCTCGGTCTGCTAGGCAACAGCATTTGTTGCATTTTTCAAACATGAATTGGGAGTGATATGCTTCTTGTAAGGGGTGACTTGCTCTTTAACCTCAGCAGGGTCCACAGAGTGCTGGGTGAGATTAAGGGGATGCCCTGGACATGTCACTAGTCTATCACATGGTCACATCCAGTTACTTCCTGTTTTTCTTGGAATTCCTCACATTTACCCCGCGCTCAGCATCTAATTGACTTAAGACTCATTTATTTGTCCAGGCATTCGTCTAGTATTTATTTACTTATTTATTTATTTTGCGGGCAATTATGTTTTCTGTGTGGTCTTGGCCTTTTATGATATGTTTTTATTTACTGATTTTATTCACGTTTTTATTCAACTTAATTATTGTTTAAAATTTTTACAATGTTGTGAAGCACTTTGTGGCTTATGCCTGCAAGGTGCTAAGCAAATACAGATTACTCACTCACTCACTCACACCTTAGGGACAAATCTGAGTCAGCGATTCACAAGCATGTTTTTAGTCAGTGAGAGGAAATCACATTACTCAGAGAAAACCCACACACGCAAGCGGAAAACACACTTTGCTGCTGGTAGGGATTTTTAAGCTTATACATAATCCCAAAATTCCATATACACAAATGAAAAAGGACAATGTAACATAAAAACTATAATTATTGTGGAGCTTAAAGCAGCCGTCTTTGGTCTGGGCTGCTCTCAGACTAGCTGTTAGCTCATCAGTCCTGTAGGATGTAAACACAAATTTTCCAAACAGAGGCTCTTCTGGAAGTTTTCTTCATAATTATTTATAACTTGTTTGCTTATCTTTAAAACGTTTGAAACCATTATTTTTATTAAATTACGAAAGGTGTTTTTTCTGTTATTGAAATTATTTGTTTCTTTATTATTATTATTATTTTTTTGCCCTCTATAAATGCTTTTGTTAATCTAATTTTTATTAAAATATTCTTTAAATAAAGTTTGAGGAATTAAGTGATTTCCAAAGCGCTTTTTTCTGTTTGAAGCTAGTCTTTGGGACTTACTAAAAGTAGATTTTATTACAAAAAGGTTAATAAGGATCAAGATTTGAATCATTTCAAAAATATGAGGTAGAGAGTTTATGTAAAACACACAGATGGGATGTAGACATAAAAATCCAAGCGTGCCTGTAAATAATGCCTCTATGTACTTGATGCCTACTTTGTACATTTTCCTTTTCTGCAGCAAATTATTTTCCTCACAGATCTGATCAGTGTCCTCAAATGACCTTTGCTATCTTCGTCTACAATTTATTATAAAGTTAATTAGGTTTTGTCATGTTTTAACTCATTCAGATGAAAGGACGGAAATACCCTAACTTCTTCTCCACCAGTAACAAATTAGTCAGTGATTAAATATGAAATTAACCCTTTATATGAAACTCACTGGGATACAAGGAGACTAAAAGATTTTTATCTCTTATTTGTTTGGCCTTTTAAAAGCTCTTGTCTGCCCTTTTAAATTTTGTTTTACTTTAAAAGTTTTTGTTTAAAATGTGTTTTTATTTTTAATTTAAAATGTTCCTGTTTTATATTAAATTTTTTGCATGCTTTTTAGTTTTTAATGTGTATTTTAAGGTCTTTTTTGGTTGTTTGTTTTTTCAGTTAACTGTAATTAACATGCAGTGGTTAATACATTAGAAGACAGCTTTCTCCAAAGAGATTTACAGCTTTAACCTAACGTATGTTTTTGTGGGAAGAAACTGGAGTGTTCGGACAAACCCACACATGCATGAGGAGAACACGCTAACTTCAATTTAATTCAATTCAATTCAAGTTTATTTATATAGCGCCAAATCACAACAAGAGTCGTCTCAAGGCACTTCACATAATAAACATTCCAATTCAGGTCAGTTCATTAAGCCAATCAGAAAATGTTTCCTTTAAAAGAAACCCAGCAAATTGCATCAAGACACTGACTAGTGTCAGTGACTTTACAGCAATCCTTATACTAAGCAAGCATTTAGCGACAGTGGAGAGGAAAACTCCCTTTTAACAGGAAGAAAACTCCAGAGAATCTTGGCTCAGTATAAGAGGCCATCCACCACGACTCACTGGGGATCAAGAAGACAGAGCGCACACACACACACACACACACACACACACACACACACACACACACACACACACACACACACACACACACACACAGCATATATACCAAGTAGTGTTTCTATGGTTACATTGTGATGTCTTAGTAAATATTCTATTTGGTGAGAGATAAACTTTATTGTATTTATCCTAGTGAATCTTTAATTAAAGGGTAAACTAGTAGTAGCACATCCAACGTCAAGGAAAGTAAAGTGTTATCAGGAGACGGAGAATGTTTAAGTGGTTAGCAGCAGTGTTAAAGCCGATGGCCCCCACCATGAGGCCACCACAGCTCAGCAGAACATCATTGTAGCTTCTTCTGGGGAGAAAAACACTTAGAGAAAAAATAAAGTTAACAGCTGAAATAGCAGAAAGTAATACAGTTAAAGAGCAGATAGTAGAAGAAAGCAGTAGAGTGTGGAAAGTGGTCATTGTATCCTCCAGCAGTCTAAGCCTATAGCAGCATAACTACAGAGATAACTCTGGATAACCTAGCCTTTTAGATGGAGGCATGTTGGAGGCAGGGCAAGGGAGAGCCGTCTTTTCCGACTGTACACTCCACCTCCCTCTACTCCCCCACTTGTCCAGATCTAGGCTAGCATCAGATTTTAACCACAGGCCCTATCAAATAAAAATGTTTTAAGTCAGTCTTAAAAGTAGACAAGGTGTCTGCCTCACAGACTAAAGCTGGGAGTTGCTTACATAAGAGAGGAGCCTGATAGCTAAAAGATCTGCCTCCCATCCTATTTTTTATTTTTATTTTGTTTTTTTTAACTCCACATAAGAAGGCCACAGCTGGGATTCAAACCTGTGAGTTTCACCTGGAACTATCACTACCAACCCACCACCATGCAGCCATCTGATTAATAATAAACTTTTTTTTTAGTCTAGCTTGTTTTCTTTAATTAAATAGTGAGGTGTTTGTGTAATGATTACAGGAATGAACTGAAAGATTTTTGACCCAATCAGTAAAGCATCATAACAGTCAAATGTTTCACGAGTCATTTTGTAGTTTAGGTTCATGCTTGCAAGAAGAACCAGAACTAGAGCCAGAACTATCTCCTGGTTCATCACAGATGAGAGATTACCAATAAAAACATAAAAATCCCCCCTCGGACGTGTCAGGACTAGGTCTAAGACTCACAGAACCACGTGTGTCAGCTGATATAAAACAATCTGGGTCTGATCTTGTCTGCAGAAGCAGCTGAAAACCAGAAGCCATCATGGCCCGGATCGTAGGAGCCACTCTGCTCACCATCATTCTGATCCATTTTTTTTCTGACAGAGCAGGTTTGTACCAAAACTAGCTGTTTGTATATTTTTCTGCTCTCAGTTATATTTTACCAACGACACAAAATCATCTTTAGTGTTAATTAACGTATAGTCAATTATTTACTCTGATTTCTGACATTTCTCTGGTTTTTGCAGCATACTGTGGCGAGTTTCAAACAGCTGGGTTCACTAGGGCAGCGATCCGTACCTGCAGATGCTCAGGTTTGTTTTTGTGGATTTGTCTGATTTTTCTATGGTCATCTCAAAATAATGCAATTTTTTATACAGGAAATGGCACATCAAATTAAAAGCACATTAGAAAAAAAATCCATTTTCAGTATTGTTTCCTATAATGTTGGAGCTTCTTGTGAGTATTTAAGCATTTTTGTTAATTCATGTTAATGCAAAAATATATACACTGCTAATAGTTGTTCTGAAGATCTTTTTTGTTTTTGTTTGTTTCACTGCAGCGGCTACTCATGGTGGGAGAAAATGTCCCAAACCGCTGGAATCCCCTCAACCTAAAGACATACAGGCCCTGAAGCACTGCCTATGCTGCAGACTTAATAAAAGAAGTAAGAGGATTTGGAAACGATTTTCCCCTCTTTATCAACATCCACACTTGTCCTTTTCTGATTTCTCTCTTCCCAAAGGTACTCCAAGATTTGAGCATTTCTGTAATTTCCCGTGTTTTCAAATACCAACACCTCTGTAAATGAAGAGGAAGTCGCTGCAGTGCATGACCAGGTTCAGACAGGACAGAACAGGACATCTAACTTTCAGTTTGTAAATAAAAACACAATTTTTATTTTAAATGTTTTTATACAAATAGATATTTCTCAAGCTTATGATTTGTTGTTTCCTCATTCTTTTACTCCTCGCTCCTTAATTTAGTCTTGATCAATTCAATCTGCTAATGTTTATTTCTGCATAATCAAAATATTCATTTTAACTACTTTAAATAAATGTTTGAATAAAGTTTTAAAATGTTTGTCTTAGTATGAATGTACATCTTTAAAATAAAGGCATTTTGTTGGATAAACGTTTCTTGAAGTTCAACCTGAAGAAGCATTAAGTGAATTCTTCTTCTTCTTCTTCTTCTTCTTCTTCTTCTTCTTCTTCTTCTTCTTCTTCTTCTTCTTCTTCTCCTTATTATTATTATTATTATTATTATTATTTTAAAGATACTGGCTGCTTTCAATATTTTCTACCTTTGAAGTAAAGCTGCAGCTAGCTGGTTGTTAGCATAGGTTAGCACTAAAGCTGCCACTAGTGGGTTGTTAGCACACTAAAACCAGAACCTTAAGCAAGCTACATCTGGCATGTTTTCACTTTGAAATATTGTACAATTAGTTGTTTGAAAACATTCACCCATCAGAGTTGCTTCCAGTGCTAAAAGATCCAGCTAGCCCAAGGAACCCTTCCACAATACTCAATAACTTTACAATAACTTCGGCCTAAAATGATTTAAAAACATGTAGGTTTAAGCAGCTTTCAGGGTTTGTATGCAATAATTTTCAGATAGAGCATGTGATCACTTTGGAAATCTGAGATTAAAAAACTTTTTTTCCATAGGCTCCAAATCCTCTTCTGTAGAGATCTATCAAAACTGTCTTTTTTCAAACTGTCTTGTAGCCATTGTGGCTCTAAACCAGTTTATGTCAGGAACACTGAGAGAACAACAGCTGTTTGGGTAGTAAAGGTTGCTGACCCCCTAAGCTAGTCTGCCACAATCCTTAAGTGTTAGACCATATATTTCATCACAATTTAGCTAATATCAGTGCTAACAATTTTCATATCTGCAAAATAAGTTCATATCAGTGATTAAGATGCTAGCAGGTGTTATCTCCACCTAATTAGCCCATCACAGAGGCCCCATGCTAACAAGCACTGTCTAGATTCAAGATTTTGCACCTGTTAGCATGTCACTAATGCTAAAGGGTGCTCACACTGCCTCTTTTTGCCCCTAACGTTTCCATAAATTAAATAAATAAATAAATATCAACTTGTTGCTTTAAAAAATGTCACATTTATGAAATAAATGAGTGAACTGGTTCAGGCAGCACTCATACATTTAGCCTTCCTAACTAACTTTTTTTCACTTTACTTTTCTCGTCACATTTACATCTGAGACAACTTGTTTGGATTGTAAATAATAAGGCCACCATTTAGGAGTGCACTGAACCATGCTAGTATCACCTGTAGTAATCTGATATTCCACTTCTCAGCTGTGGCCCTTATCCTTATCTGAAGATCAGATGTGTTGTTTGTGTTCTAAAGCCTGATAGAGAACAGTGAGGTTTGAACGTTCTGTTGTAGTTCTACATGCTCCGTTACACATTGACCACTGTAAGGAAATGTTTGATCTTCTTCATGCTTAAGGGATTTTCTAACAAGAAACTTTAGCCAGGAAACAAGTCATCTTTTAAAAAGGTTTAGGACTTTCATGGATGATGACTAAAAGTGATCTATGTTGCTAAACAGAAAAACAACTCCTAATAACTTTTTAACTAACCTTTAAGAACACAAATACTACAGGTCAAACATAATGAAGAAGGAAAGATCTTTTCTATAGCGCCTCTAAAGATAAAAATCACGAGGCGCTTCACAAAAACAAAAAATGTAAAAAATATAAAAAATAATTTAGAAAATGATTAAAAATATATTTAAAATGAGCAAAAAATAGACAATTGTGATTAAAAATGTAAAGGAAGAGAGAGTGAACAGGAAAGCGGGAAATCAGCGGATCCTGAGGAAGGTGGAATAGGTGGGGAGAGCAGAATAAAGAGAGAGGGGTAGAAGAAGGTTATACAAAAGCCAGCTTGAACAAGTGAGTCTTCAGCTGCTTTTTAAAGGAGACCACTGAGTCCACTGATCTCAGTCTCAGGGGGAGAGAGTTCCAGAGTCTGGGGGCCACAGCAGCAAATGATCTGTCACCTTTGGTCTTTAGCCTGGTGCTGCACAACCAGTAGGCTTTGATCACTGGACCTCAGGGACCTGCTGGGGGTGTAGGGACTAAGAAGGTCATCAATGTAAGATGGTGCTTGTCCATGTAAGGCCCTATAGACCAGAACCAGGATCTTGAAATGAACCCTGAAGTTGACTGGCAGCCAGTGAAGCTGGAGGAGAAGCGGGGTGGTGTGGGTGTGTTTGGAGGACTTGGTCAGAATCCGAGCACAGACATTCTGAACCACCTGTTGACGGTTCAGGGAGGTTCTGCTCAGACACGTGAAAAGAGAGTTACAGTAGTCTAAGCGTGAGGAAATGAAGGTGTGGATAACAGTCTCAAGTTCAGAGCGGGACAGAATGGGACTCAGCTTAGCAATGTTCCTGAGATGGAAGAAGGAAGAGCGAACAAGAGAACTGACATGAGAATCCAGGGTGAGAGCTGGGTCAAAGGTCACGCCAAGATTCTTGACGGAAGGTTTTGTGTGAGAAGAAAACTGACCAAGAGAGTCTCGGACTTTGGGAACCAGCTTGTCTGGGGCACAGATGAGGATCTGTCTCATCTTCATTCAGCTGAAGAAAGCTCCCAGCCGTAACAGCTGCAGCTTAGACATCTCATGGGGCTTAAAGGAGATGTACAGTTGGATGTCATCTGCATAAAGATGGTAGGAGATTCCTTTGAAGGAGCTCAGGATGTGCTGAAGAGGAAGAGATAGAGGAGGAAGAGCAGAGGCCCCAGCACAGAACCTTGTGGGACACCATGGGTAAGGGAAGTGGTGGAGGACCTAACCTTGGAAATGGCCACAGAAAAGGAGCGCTCAGAAAGATAAGAGGAGAACCACTCCAGAGCAGTTCCTGATAGGCCTACCCAGTCTCTCAGCCTCTCCAGTAGCAGGTGATGGTCAACAGTGTCAAAGGCTGCAGTCAGGTCCAGCAGGACCAGAACAGAACAGTCCCCTGCATCACTGTGAGTCAGAAGGTCATTAGAGACCATAAGAAGAGCTGTTTCAGTAGAATGAGCTCTACAAAAACCTGACTGGAAGCTATCATAGATGTTATGTTCATCAAGAGCAGCTGTGACTTGTTTAGCCACAACCTTTTCCAAGATCTTGGAGATGAACGGAAGTTTAGAGATGGGTCTGAAGCTGTTTTGGAGCTAATGCAGGTCAGTGAAGCTAAGCGTCCTGGGAACAGTCTCACTTGTTTACCCATCCTGGTTTAGAGTTTCATATTTACACCAAAACATAGCAGTTAGATAAAGAAGAAAGAGAGAAAAGGTCAGGGGAAAATGTTCTCAGTTCTTCGTGTTGGGGGTGAGAACGACGCTTTTCATCAGGTAAGTCATGTATCTGCCAGGGCTGGTTACATATTGCTTCTCTTGGTGTGAATCCTGTCTCAGAGAACAGTAGGTTGGCTCAGAGCATGAGCTGGCATATCCTGAGATTCTGGCTAAAACAATAACTCAGGAGCGCTTCATTCTCCGCCCAACAGAGAGAGACCAGGATGGGTTTATGTGGGCATGAAGACAATGTTCTTGTTTCAAACTTAGCTACTAAGTGTGTTTTATTTTAATAAGCATGTTTTATAACTGCCAAAGAGCCGTGTTTACCTTCTGTTTTTTTTATCCAAATGTATTTTTGCTTGTAGTGATAGGCATGTCTCGACAGGTGGTTCAGCTCCAGCCAAAGATCTGGGCGGAGGGCTCTGGTCAGTGGAGCACGGGTCTGTGTGAATGCTACAAAGATTTGGGAGACTGTAAGCATCCTGCATGATGCAAAAACACTTTCACAGAGGGGAAAATGCTAACTGAGTCCTGCATGCATGTGTGTGTTTGTGTGTGCAGGTTGCTTTGCCTTTTGCTGCTTCCCAGTGTTTACCTGTAAGGTGACCAGTGCAGCAGGGGCGTGTCCCTGTCTGCCACTGCTGGACTGTATCAGCTGTGTTCCTCCAGCTTCTCTGGCCATGAGGGCGTCTGTTAGGGAGCGATACGGCATCCAGGTACAACCGAGGTTATTTCTGCATGAACTGAATGCAAGCCAGTAAATTATGTGACTGCTTTAAAGTGACAATGTGTAGTTTTTACCATTAACCTCTTGAAATATCCATCCAAATGTTGTAGTAAATGAAGTAAATTGCCCAGTTGTTGAAAAATATTGGCAGTTTCATAACAAATAACCATAAAAATTGAGTCTAAAAACATAGAGCGGGTCTAAGTCTCTGGACGATGCCATATTGGAAGCCATATTTCCTTCTACGGAAGTCTATGAGGACAAAATGCATTTACTGATTTGAAACAAATGGTTATAAAACTTTCAGCATTAATAAACATTGTTGCTTTGCACATTCACCTCTTCACTCACTGCCAGTAATAAAAGGGAATCTGATTATCTTATTTTGCTGGAGGTTGCACTCCCAGGGATTTTTGACTGTAATGGCCATCTGTTGGTAAGGTCTTATTTGAACACAAAAATAATGCTTGTTTGCAGTGATTTAGGTATGTACTGCCCCCTATCACCAGGGAAAATACACACTGTCACTTTAACGGTTTCTTTGTGGCTTTTGAGTTCATTTTTATTCCTGTGAAGGTGAGTACAAAAAAGCCGTCCAAAACATAAACTTAATAAAGTACTTTATTTGGTTTGGTGTGGTATGTTATTAGCTGTAGTAGCTCTGTCTGTCACGTTGTGGGGATGTTTAGGACCCAAATATGCTGATTACCCAGACGACAAGAGGCAGAAGTTGATTCAAAGTAAAAATCCTTTATTTGCAGGATGAAAGAACAAAAATTAATCCAAGGCAGCGAGCCAAAAGTCCAAAAGTCCTGGAGCACAGGACACCGAAAGCTCTTCTTAGAGCACCAAAAACCTGGAGACAAAAAGCTCACTAAGAGCACGAAGACCTGGAGACAAAAAGCTCAGACAGAGCATGAACAAACACTGACAACAATACAATGGACCGACAACAACACAGAGACAAGACAGGGCTTATATAGAGCTCCGGGAGTTGATGTCACTTCTCCCGGAATGCAACAGTTCAAATCGAAACGGCGCCATACTGGCAGGTAGAAGCCCGCAGCTGGACTATTTGTTATTGTCAGAAAACTCAATCAAACGGGAAATATGGTAGATTCCTGTTGTGCTCCAGGATGCAGAACAGACGCGGACAACATAAGGAAGGAGCCATCTACAGGATTCTTCAAGATCCGGAGTGCCGTAAACGTTGGATCATTATAATAAAACGCGCTAGTGACCGGGCTGAAATGAAGCTGTGGGATCCCGAGAGTAAAGGTTTTTGCTTATGCAGCGACCGCTTCATATCAGGTACTTAAATCAACATTTTCTCAACTGTGTATGGTATTTATTTTAAATGTGTTGAATATGATTCTTAGTGGGCTTCCTAAACTTATTTTGACGTGGCTTTTTCTGTCTTATTACTCATAGCAACAAGTAAACATCACGTAAAACGTTGCCTCGTGAGTTCTGCGTGCTGCCGTTTACGTGTTTTATGATCACAGCAATTAACCGGCTAAGCTGTATTTCATTTTTAAGCAATGGCTGATCAATTGTCAGATCACACATGAAAAGCACTTTGGATTGCTATTATCTGTCTCACCGAGACAGATCTCAGACAGATCCTGAGATGCTCCTGCCTGACATTTTTATTTTATTCACGGAAAAAAATCTAACTAGTGATTTCTCTTGGCGTTCAGTTTATACATTCAAACAGCACAGCACTCTATTTAAACTACTTACATGTAAATCTATGTTATTTGTCCATCCATCCATTTTCATCCGCTTATCCAGAGTCGGGTTGCGGGAGCAGTAGCGTTAAGAGGCCCAGACTTCCCTCTCCCCAGCCACTTGGGCCAGCTCCTCTGGGGAAATCCCAAGGCGTTCCCCGGCCAGGTCCGGTAAGAAGTCCGCTCCGACAGCTTCTGGAGTTTTTAAAAAGTATCCCAGGGGCACGGTGAGGGTCGGAGATGTTTAGTCTATTTAATTTCTGGCTATGTAAAACAATTTCTTCGGTTTTAAAGTGTGAAGTAAACTCAGACGAAGTAAAATCCAAGCCGATCCCGTTCATGTTTACGATCCGTGTTTGTTTACCTTTTTTTCCTGCCAATATGGCGTCTACTAACCGAGAGTCACGTGGGGTCCGGAGCTCTATAGACTGGGAAGATGAATTGCAGGTGTGTGGGGAGAGGGACCAGGTGAACACAATTACTAAATCAGGGAGGAGGAAGAAAGCACTGGTGGGAAAAAACACACTAAATACTGAAAGGCTATAACAAAGGAAAATGACCTAAGAGAAAAAAACAAAAGACCAGAAGGCATGAACCATAACTAATATTCTAAGGGGAAGCCGACACTAAAGGAAAACACTACAGAAAGAAAACTACAGGGGCGTGGCTAAGAGGGGGACAAGAGAGCACAGGACCTGGGAGAGGGATGTCTGAGGAGGGAAACCTAGAGGGCAAATGGGGAACACCAGGAGACACATGAGGAAGATGCAGACACGACACATGAGGGCGCTAGAAGACACAAAAGGAGCACCTAGAGACGAATGGAGGACAAAAGGAGACACATGAGGTGAGACGCAGACACAGACCGTGACACTGTCGGCACAGAGGAGTTTTTCCAATAATCAGAAGGTTGGTGGTTCAAACTCAGCTCAGTCCTAGTCAGTCAGCCTGTGACTATGAAGCTTCACCTGCCTTGGCTATTTGTGAATGTTGGCGTTCGTCAAACGGGCAAATTGGAACAAAATGGCAACCTTGCCTCTGTCCGACTCCCCAAGGGCTTAATTGGCTTCCTCAATAAGTTAAACTTTAGCTCCCACCGCTTGATACAATATTGTGTCATCTGGATCATATTCCATTTGTTGTACTGTAACATTAACCCATATTTGTGTAGAGGTGGCATGTTCTCCCCGGCATACGTGGGTTCTCTCCCACAGACCGAAAACATGCATCTTAAGTCCTGGCCACTCTGCGTTCTTTTGGCCAGCCAAGGCAAATCTCTGACTGTGAACATAATCGTGATGAAAAAGAAATGAACATGAGGGTGATTTGCAAATCTGTGGGTGTCCAGTGTGACCGGGCCAGCGACAGCTTATTGAGCACTCGCTCAACCAAATACAGCCTTCAGCAATCTTCGAGCAGTGTTAGAGGAACACCTATGACTCCAGTCTGCCATTAACCAGGCAGTGACGAGAGCATGTGCCAGAGTAGCAGTAGCAACAGTGAAAGCTACACAAAGAGACATGTGGACAACTCTAGGAGTTCGGTTCAGTGTCTATTAAAAGAAGCATTAACGCTAGTATCTTTTCTTCTTTTCATTGTTGTCATGGGCATCTGTTGGCTTGTAGTGACGTATGATTTTCGGCGAGTATGCTTATGACGTTAACGTGTCCTGCTAGAGCAAGACGCCATGTGGTTTGACTCACTGAAATCATGGACTGTACAAAGCCATCTCTCTAGAGACCTCTCTGCGACATGAAGCATTTAGAGCGTTTACACCTGAAAAACGCAGTGTGTGGTCCGGGCTTTAGGTTAGGCTTAGGGTTAACTCAAGACCCTAAACTGTCCCTAGTTGTGACTTAAGTGTGTGATTGGCTGTTTGCCTCTTTGTGTGCCTTTCATGAACATGTCCAGGGTGTTCCCCTCCTTCATTGCAATGATTGCAGGAGTTAGGCACCAGCTGCTCATTGACCCTATTGATTCTGAAGTGGTGTAGGGTGTGTTTGTACAGCAACTGATTGAACAAGGCTTGATCCTTGGTTCTTTACCCTGTGTGATTCCTATCCACTATGTTGAAGGTATGTTTTACTCTAGAGAGTTTCAGGTGGCAGCTGACTGGTGGGCTGGGTCGTGCTGGTTTGAGAAGTCACATGTTGTTGGTAAGAGGGAAGCATCCCTCTAATCAGTGTTGATTACATTCCTCCAGTCAGGTGTAGTGTATGTGTGATGGACCAGCAGCTGTTTGCTCCTGGGGATCTCTCAGGCATTCAGCAGAGGCACCAGCTAAGTGTCAACACGGTCACTCGCCAATCACACGTTAGATGTTGCAGTTAACGGTGTCAGTTTGGTGCTGCGCAAGCACTGTTGAGTCCCATTTTTTATTCTGTTTTCTGGGACAGTGAAAAGAAGGAGATAAGGGCCGATGTGGGAGTGGTTGGAGGTTGGAGCGCTGCCATCGGAGAGAGGAAGGTGGCTGGTAATGTTGGCTTTCTGAAGGTGGAGTAGGCCGTAGTTCTCTGTCAGTGCTGCAGGATGCCAGGAGTTTGCTGGAAAACAGGTCCAAGCTTGTAGGCAGTTTGTAAAACAACTATTTTATCACAAGAGGAGAGAGATAAAAACATCAGAGGAGAGGATCATGGGAGGAAAACTGTTAAGAAACAACAGATTCTATCTTCTTTTTAGTTGTTTGTGTGTACAGCTGCACTTTGGTGCCTTTCTTTCCTTCAACTAGAGTTGGCTTCAGTTTTGCAGCCATGATGCAACCCTGATGCTGTTCCATGGTCAGTTGCATTGTCTTTTCAGCACAATCTGTCCATTTCTAGTCCTGTTACAGGACAAATACATGTTTTCTGCATCTGTTTCTTTTATGCATCTGCAGCAGATCCACACTCAGTCTGATTTGTCCACATGTTTTACGTTTAGTGCCACTTGTTTGCCACTGAAATACTTTTCCAAGTACTTACAGCTTTATTGCTACCCTCCAAGAATACTGCAAACCCCCCACCCCCACCCTCACACCACAGAGAACATAGGCAACAACAGACTAGAGGCCTACTCTCCAAGCAACATTTTACCCCAAGCATCAAAGGTTGTCTCATATTTACAAGCACAGAAAGCTGATCTGGGTACAGAAATCTCTGAGGATGAATGGAACAGTGTGTGTCTATTGACACAAACACACACTATTAGACCACTACAGTACAGATAATTATTTAGAGCTTATATCTACCTGGTTAAACTTCACTGTTTCAACTCAAACATTACCATTGGAGAGTGTTGTAGAAAAGGGCACTCTCCTTCATCTTCAGCTCTTATCGGAACAGTTTAGCATGAACCTGCATGCTTTGTTTCTCTGCTCTGAAACACTCACTCACCTTCTGTTCTGCTCATCCTTCACTAGGGTCGCAGGGAGCTGGTGTTTAACTCCAGTGAGAGGTGGGGGACATCTTGGACAGGTCTCTGGTCCATCACAGAGACAAACAACCAGGCATACTCACACACAATAGGGAACATTTAGTCTCCAATCAACCCAACATGCATGTTTTTGGAATTTGGGGGGAAAAAAAACAGCAAACCTGGAGCAAACCCATGTATCCATGGTTACAACATGCAGAAAAGCTCGAGCTGGTAATTGAACCTGTGACTTTCTCTCTACAAGGATCAGTGCTACAGGTGTCCAACCATGCAGAACCGCTGAATCGTGTTCATTTATGCGTCCAGATGCGGTTCATTACGGTGTTTTCATGTTGAACGCCCCAAGTGGAAAATTCAGAATGTCACAAATAACAGGAACAAGTGTTTTCTAAGCTGCTTTTTGGTTTTCTCTCAGAATCAAACATATTAAAATCTCTGGACGATGTTTGTGGGAGGAGAAAACGTTCTCTGTGTTTGTGTCTACTCCCACGTGGAGCTCTCAGCGAGGGTCTGTGGTTTTACATAATGCACCTGTCACACTCCTTCAGATGAGACCTGAGGAGCTGCGTTACGATGGGGAACCCTGACCCTAACCCAACATGTTCACCAGAACCTAATCAGGCACAGAAACCTGTGAGAATGAGTTTGAGTTCAGACCAGGATACTGAAGGAAAGTAAAGCACTGATCTGCTGTGTTTTATATATTTTTTCACCTAAATGCAAATGTCCACCTTCTGTTGAGCCTCCCACCTGAAGTTAATTTAAGGTTTGCTGCTATCTTCCAGGGGAGCGTGTGGAGCGACTGCCTGTACGGATGCTGCTGCTATCATCTATCCTGGCTCCAGATCTCCAGAGAGCTGAAGAGAAGAAGAGCAGCATCCCACGCCTCCTCCTCATCCTCAGCCAGATACACCGCGCTCACCTCCCTGCAGGGGGCGCACTTGGTCTAGACACGTCCAGGACCAGGAGCTCGGGCCTCCCAGCTGAGAGGCAAACTCAGAGATGAAGTGAAATATGTTCTGGTTTCATGTTGAATTTGTTTTTGTAAGAGTGTTAAATTATGTTCCTCAACTTGTGGCTCTGGAGCCAAACGTGGCCGTTTATGGCCTCTTTTGACTCCTTGTTGCTTTAACTAAAAAAAGCCATTGTAAAAACTTAAAATGAAAAGAGTAAAAGACTAAATGTGAAGTGTTTATCATTTTTTAACCAATACATGTTTTAGCCATTAGCTTCCTTAGCTTCTTGTTTCCCAAATCTCCATAAAACCAAATCTTCCAACTGTTTAATGTAAACTTTTGTAAAAACAAAATTTGAAGGGAACATCAAAAATGCCACATTGAGGAGCAGGAGGTTTGGACCCAAGATGCAGAATTCCCAGAACGACTCGAGGCAGGAGTGGTTAAAGAAAATAAATCCTTTATTTAAAGGAGGATGCACCAAAAAGTCCAAGAGCACAAAAACCAGACTAAATCTCAAAACACACTAATGCTCAAATTAAAGAGCTCACTAACGAGCACAAAATCGGGGGAAACTTGAGAGAGACAGAACATCGCAGCCAAATACAATGGACCAACAAACACTGAGGGACAAGACAGGGTTTTTAACACAGGGGGAAGCAATCAGGGGAACAGGTGACAGGTGTGAGGTCTGGAGGGAAGACAGGTGCCATTAATAAACTAAATGGGGAAAGAACTTAAGCAGAGGGGGAGATAAACCATAACCTATAAAACACTAAATAACTAAACCTAAAGACTAAGGGCAAAGATAAGCAACTAATGACTAGAGGGGTGAGGAGGACTGATACAGACCAATAGGAACTACACAGGAGTGACTAGGAGGAAATATGAGGGAATCCTAGAGGGAGCTGGAGAACACAAGGAGACACATGAGGAGAACCTGGAGAGGGCTGGGGAAGCATGGGGACACACAGAACACAAGGGGACACAGAACATGACAAAAAATATGAAGTTGGAGCAAAAAACAATAAGTAACTTTGAAAAGAACATGTCTGAAGCTGTTTAAAGACATGCATTTAAGTCTAAATCAGCTTGACAATTTTGTTTCCAACAAAAAAAATTAAGTCTTTACCCCACCCCCACCCCCAACCCCTGTTGTTTAAATAAAAAGATAAATTATCACAAAAAGGTGAATCAAGCATGTCACCACAAATGGTGTTTTATTTTTAAGGGGCTAATAGATTCTGTTGCTTTATAAACATTTTATTTTGAAGGAGAAATAATATAAACAGTTCCATTAGTCATGGAGGTTCTGTTAAAAGTTGACTATTTTATTTGCTCACAATCCTTAGTCTCACACGTCTCCACTCCAAAAGTTTGGGACCACTTGGGAACGTTCTTGTTTCCCACTGAAACACATGTGGCATGGGCACAGTCAGCGTTTGTTCTGGTTTGTTCCAGCCTGACAGGCATTTGGCGTTCCAGCTGTTAGTTTTTACGACGATCTGATGAAATCTCACCCCGTGCTTCCACAGCAGTCCTTTCTCACAGGTGAATAATTTCTGTGTGTCCATGTTGAGCCCAAAAACAAACAAACCAGACACCAAGTCTGTAAAATGTAAAGAACCGAACTGAATAAATCTTGCTTAAAATTATAGTTTCCAACCCTGACATCTGCACAACTAATTTCATCAACATCAAGAACATTTCTAAGTGATCCCAATCTTCTACCCTGCAGTAGACAGCCTCGTTACTGGTCCCAGCACCAGCTACACTCTAAAACCAGTTGTTTCTGTATGCAGGATACCATTTAGCTCACCGGTTCGAGAGGTGCAGTTTTACCAAACCGCTGGTTCAATGCTCTAATCCCTCCTGACCCACTCATGATTTTATGTTTCAGCCATCAGTGACTGACCCAACTTCAGGAATCAGGAGGATGTGGTCGTAGGCTGAGAAACAAAGACCACCACTTACAGGGAGGCTGGTAGATCAGATCAGACACAAACATACAAACAAATAAAAACATCTTCAGAGGTTAATAAAATCATTCCAGACTCAGCTGAGGATTGGGTCGTCCCGATTTGTGAAACCCAGAATGTTTTATGTCAGAAAAGTCTTTCTGGACATAAATTAGGATAATGTCCCAGCATCTCAGATGGGATTGCCGTGCAGGACCTTCTCTCTGAAAGCCCATCACACATCTAAGAGCAGAACAAGCTGGTTTAAAGTCGTTTAGAAGCAACAAGATGTCCAAGATAATAAAGACAGGAACACGTGTCTAACAGTTTTGACGTAGAAGTAAAGACACCTGTCCAACTGGGTAGGCTGGTCTGTTATGCAACGCCTACGATATTCTACCAGCCTGTAAGAGACCACGCTGTCCAGCAAGTCCACTAGTTAGTCGGGTTTACCTCTGCTCAGCCGTCGCTGGACCAAACTAAGGTAAACATATATTTACAAATTATAGACCTGTTTCCCTGCTTCCTCAGTTCTCAAAGATACTAGAAATAATATTTGTTGCCAAACTAGATGCATTTCTGGACAGACAGAATATTTTGAGTAGTAGTCAGTATGAATTTAGAGCCAATCATTCAACATCAATGGCATTAATGGAATTAATGGAATGTATCTCCACAGAAACTGATAGGAAGAATAATACAGTAAGTATTTTTGTGGCTCTTAAGAAAGCGTTTGACACCATAGATCACACCATTCTGTATGGAAAACTTAGCAAGTATGGAATCAGGGGAGTGGCATTTGATTGGACTATAAGTTATTTAAAAAAACAGGCAACAATATGTACAGATACACAATGTTAAATCAAACACATGTAATATTTAATGTGGGGTTCCCCAAGAGTCTGTTTTAGGCCCTAAACTGTTCATCATATATACCAGTGATATCACAAGTGTATCTAAATTGTTGAATTGCATTTTATTTGCTGATGATACAACCTTCTTTTATGCAGGTGACAATCTAGAACAGGGATTCCCAAAGTGTGGTACGCGCACCCCCGGGGGTGCGCGAGCTGCCGCTAGGGGGTGCGCGAGGTGAAAAGTGTAATGGCTGCGGAGCTCAGAGAAGTCTGTTGAGCCCCTTTCAGACAGGCCATGAAAAACGGAAATGTTCCGGACTTTGTCCGTAAGACCTTTGTGTCTGAATACAAACATCCGGATAACCTTTTCCATAATTTAACCGGACGACGCCCCTAGTAACAGGTCCGGACTTGTTACGGACAAGGTGGCTGCTTCAGACTGGTGAGGTCGGGTTCCGGACAGGGAGGAGGGGGAGGAGGAGAGGACCGGGGGATGCTGTGCGCACCTAGATAGCCCGCTGCTGTAGCATGCGGCGAACCATGGCAGCTCGCCTCCTACGGTACCGTCTCTGCGCGACGGAGCGCATCACACCGCTTCCGTGATTCCTTTTAACCATTGAGCTTCATCACCCTGTTCTCTTGTGCGTCTTCGTGTGCGCAGAATTATGCTTAACATAAGTCCTATCAGTGAGAGGAATTCTATCTCTTTGTCTGCCATGTTTGACTGAATGGCTTTGTTTGAGTGAATGATGCATGTGTGCCCGCCGGACTATGAGTGAGTCATTCTGGCAGATTGTAATCAACACCCTGTCTCATGCAGGTGTTCTGACATTGTAAACCTCACACACAGAACATTGTGGATGTAACAAAATAAATCAAGAAATGATTCCCATTCAGGCTATTAACAGCGTGCTGAAGATCTGAAGTTCAAGAGTGCGTCTGTCAGAGGTCAGACGTGTTCCAGCGGAACCACGGCTCACGGGTGCACAAGTGAGCACATCTGGGCAGAAGTAATTTTACAACATTGGTTTAAATAGCGCCAATAACGAGACGTGGTGACTTAAACGCTGCAAGTTGTGAAGCGCGTTCCATCCGCGAGCCGCATCACCAAGGGAAAGTGAATGTGTCAAGCATAAACCAAGCTTCACGGAGCCGTCAAACTGAAAGCAGAAATGAGCGCTGCCTCCTCCATGATAAAAACTTTTAAGAGGTTTTATAACAACATTTTTCATTCAAGGTCAAATTAAGATATTAGCTTCTATTTTGGGATGACGTATTAAAGCAGGGTCCACTCCAGCCAGTGACTCCTCATGAACCTGACCACAACTCATGTTACTGCAGCATTTGTTATTCCAGTCCACGTGGCAGCGGATCGCAGATTCAGCCACACCATAAAACAGCAATAAGTCGGTCTGAGGTAAAAGTGAACCTCATGGCTTTTCCATATTTTCCCCTATAGACATTTGATTACGCACAAGTAAGTGACCAGCTCAGGTTTACGCAGAGCAGAAGGAAGGAGAGCGCTCTGGCCGCACAGGTTAAACGTTCCTACTTTAAGAAAACCGTTAAATTGCATTGTTGATGTGCTACCTGGGCACTCTAAATATTTATTTAAAATTAAATCAAAGGAAATTGTAATGGCATCGAATGTTTATTAATTACTATTTAAAAAATGAAAGTGATGGGGAAAAAGGTCGATCATATTTTTTTAACCCCTGTCTGTTTAGCTTGACGTCTGATATATATGATATATGATCTATATATATATATATATATATATATATATATATATATATATATATATATATATATATATATGTATATATATAGCCATGCCCTGATGTGGGGGCTGGGGGGTGCGTCGACGTGGTCGGGACATAGAAGGGGGTGCGCGGCTAAATATGTTTGGGAACCACTGATCTAGAACATATGAGAGAAGTAATTCAGTCAGAGCTAGTAAAACTGAAACAATGGCTTAATGTCAATAAACTATCCCTGAATCTTGAGAAAACTCAGTTTATGGTGTTTGGAACAAGAGGAGCAAATAGTGACATGTGATTAGCTATAGAAATTTTTAAAATTGAAAGAGTGAAGAAAATTACGTTTCTAGGGGTCATTATCGATGAAGATATTACATGGAAGCCACATGTTAATGGTGTGAAAACAAAAATGGCAAGAGCAATTGGTTTACTGCATAAAATAAAACATTTTTTAAATAAAAAAGCATTACTTCAAGTATGTAATTTCTTGACTGCACCATATATGACTTACTGC